TCTCTTGGCTGCTACATTAATTCATCTTTCCTGAATTTTTGAGGATGTTATCTGAGTTTTCAGGAAGCAAAAATTCTTTTCTGATCTGATTTTTTAAGGAATATTTCAAAGTGTTATTGAATATCAAGGCATTTTCATTCATAGTTAGGCTCAGATTTGCCAAGTAGATCACTGTGGGCTTCATCCTGAGCTCCAGTGCTCTTCAGAACATAGTGCTCCATTCCCTCCTGAGTTTTCCAGTGGATGCAGAACGGTCTTGTGTTATTTAAATTTCCTTTCCTGTTGTATTTGACGTTCTTCCTTCAGATAACTTATAGAAGGTAATCTTTGAATTCTTTCAAATTGTATTTCATTTTCTGTATTCAGAAATTCTGGGCAGTTTGCTTGTATTATTTCTTGCATTATGATTTTCAGGTATTTTTTTTATTTGTCATGTTATTCGGAGAGATCCATGTTCCTCAAGTTGTATCCTGTCTTTTGAATTCAGTATGTTTTTATTGTCTAGAGAGTAAATTTCTTTTAATGTTATTGTTTTTAGCTTCTCTTCTTCTAGCTTACCCCTCATTTCTGTGTTCATTTTCCTTTGTTTTGTAGTATTTATTCGTAGATGCCTCAGGTCATTTACTAGATCTAGAGGCCATGTTTCTTTCAGTTGTTAATGTTTTCCCTGTTGATTTGTCTGTTTATTTTTCAGGTCTTTGATTTTTCTTCTTCCTGAGATCTTTGGTAATTTTTAATCCCCCTCCTCCTTATTTTCCCCCATTGCTCCCTTTCTGAGTGAGCAGTTTCCCCTATTTCTTACTTTCTCTTCCCTCTGTTGGTTTTTTCATTGGAGGGTAGATCAGTCAGTCACTCAATTAACATTTATTGTGTGCTACTATGTGCCAGACACTGCTAAGTGCTGGGGATATGAAAAAGGGTAAAAGATAGTCCTTGCCCTCAAGGAGATCACAATCAAATGGGAGAGAAAACAAGCAAACAAGTATGTACAAATGAGCTTTATACAGGATAAATAAGATGTAATTAAGAGAAGGAAGGCAGTAGAATTGAGAGGTTGGGAAAGGTTTCCTGTAGAAGATGGGATTTTAGTTGGGACTTAAAGGAAGCCAGGGAAGGCGAGAGGTAGAGAGCATTCTAGGCATGGGGGATAGCCATAGTGAATGCCAGAGCCAGGCGATGGAGTGTCTTGTTTGTGAAACAGTGACCAGGCCATTGTCACTGGATCAGAGTAAGGTATAAGAAGACTGGAAAGACAGGAGAGGGATGGGTTATGAATGGCTTTGAATGTCAAGCAGGAGTTTTGTTTTTGATACTGAAGGCTATAGGGAGCCATGAGTTTATTGAGTGTAGATGTGTGGGTGGGGTTGACGTGGCTGGACCAGAGCTTTAGGAGGGTCACTTTGGTGGCTGAATGGAGGATAGATTGGAGTAAGGAGACCTGAGGCAGGCAGAACTACCAGCATGCTATTGCAGTAGTCCAGGCATGAGGAGATAAGGGTCTGTACCAGGGTGGTGGCAACAGCTTGAATATGGGGGGGGTGAGAGAAAGTAAAGAGTGACTTTTGGGGTATAGAACTAGCCCCAGCTAGACCCTGGGCTCTTTGCCTCAGTCTTAGTGGAGTGATGCAAAGCCTCTTCCTCCTACCACCCCCCAAGCCCCTGCACCTTATCCTGCCATGTTCTTTCTGTTCCTTAGTTCTCTGGACTGGCAATTTAGATCACTGCCATGTTGGTGCTGCTGCAGCCAGGGGTGACTTTGGAGTTTGGGTCTCTAAGACTCTGGGAGGAGGGGGAACGTTAGAGTGTGGGCTTGAACTCTGCTTCCAGCACACGGGTTCAACCCCATTCCCTTTGTTCCACCGCTCTCGCATAGAGACCTCTCTGTAGTAGAACGCTGCTGTGATGTTGGATGCCGAGGCCCTCGAAAGAGGCAGGTGGCACCAGGGTAGGAAGTTACATTTTTTTTTTTGCCAGGTTGTAGGTCAGGTCCTGGGAATGGCTAGTGCAGCCTCACTGCTCGCAGTAGGGTGTGTGGTGGAGGAGAGGATACTGTGTGAACTCATGATGGACATCAGTTCATGGAGTTTTTTTTAACCTTCTTTTGGATTCTGGGTATCCTGGATCATTGAAGCAGCTGAAGCTGTTTTATATGCGGTACATCATTTCTGTTTGGGAGAGGTCATGGGGATCAGAGGAAATGTCTAGTCCTCCATCTTATTGATTATATGACCTTCAATCTATACGCATAGTTTTCTACTACCCTATCTCCCAGTTGACCTTCTACTTCTAAGCCCTTAGTTAGCAACATTATAGGGGAAAGTTTTATTAGAATAAAAGTAACATAAAAAGTACTCCTAGAATGAGGGGCCATGAAGTCTCACAGATGAATTTGAGTCCTTAGAGTCAAGCAATGATTATTATGGGTGGGCAGCTAGATGGTGCGGTGGATAGAGCACTGGGCCTGACGGAGTCAGGAGGATCTAAGTTAAAATCCAGCCTCAGACCAAACACTTGACACTAGCTGAGTGATGGTGGGCAAGTCACCTAACCCCAGTTGCCTAAAAAAAGAAAAAGAAAGAAAAAAGAGAAAAAAAGAAAAAGATTGTTATGCAACATAAGGTTTCATTCAGAGGAGCATGATGGGAGGGACCAAAGAGATCACTTCTATAGTCCCACTATCTTCTGCCCTGGGCAGACCCCAGCTGGTAGATTGTGTCCAGTTCTGGGCACCACGGTTCAGGGAGGATTTTGGTGGCGGGAGAGTGTCCACAAGAGAGCAATTGGGGTAGTGAGAAGAGTTGGAGCACAGAGCTAGTATGTGAGGATTGAAGCGACTGGGGATATTTAACCTGGAGAAGACTTTAGGTGGGACATAACAACTGTCTTCAAGTAGTCTAAGGGCTGTCAAGAGGTAGTTCCATTTGCTCTGCTTGGCCCCAGAGGGCAGAACTAGTTGTAATGGGTGTGATTTGCCAAGAAGTAAACTGGATTTCCTTGATGTCAGGAAAATCCCACCAGTGAGAGCTGTCTGTAAGTGGAATGGGCAGCCTCAGGAGGGAGAGGACTCTGTTACTGAAGGTGGCAGAGGCTTGGTGACCACTTGTTAGAAATGTTATGGGGGCAGCTAGGTGGTGCAGTGGATAGAGCTCTGGCCTTGGAATCAGGAGGACCTGAGTTCAAATCTAGCCTCAGACACTTGACACTAGCTGTGTGACCCTGGGCAAGTCACTTAACCCTGATTGCCTCAAAAAAAAATGTTATCATGGAGATTCTTGTGCAGGTGTGGGTTGGACCTACTGGCCTTGGAGAGCCCTTCTAATGTGGAAATTCTGGGCTTCTTTGTCATTACCTCTGACTCTGGACTCAACTCCTCTCCTCCCTCCTTCTCCCTGCTTCCTGCAGAATTCTAACAGTCGACTTTGTCCAAAGATGGATTCTCTGTTTGCTTTTCTTAAATGCCCTGGCTGCCACAGCCTCTTGACCTAAATAACTCTCAATGAGCTGGTTTCACTCCCCTCCTCTCTCTCTGTAGCCATAGCCTGGTAGAACCCAGCAACTCCTATCTGAACTCCTCTCAGACTTCTTTCTCCCCACTCTCTGGCTGTTGGGGGATCAAGGATCAGAGTTCAAATTTGACTCCTAAAAGAAGATATGAGAAAGTGGCTGAAATGTTTATAGTGCTTTCCATGATGTTTTCTTGCTTGAGTCTTACAATGGGCAGTACAGATATTTCAGAGATAAGCAGACAGAGGCACAGAGAAGCTAAATGACTTATCCATAGCCATACAGAAAAGATTCAAACCTGAGTCTCTCTTGACTCCAGGCTCACTTCAGTTTTTCTTTTGTAGCAACTGGCCTTCCCCACAGAAAGAGAAACTCAAAGACTGAGAAAGTGAATGAATGCACAAAGAAATGAAGAAGGGATTGGGGAGGGGGAGCTCAGTTGCTTTCTGACTGCAGTTAGGATCCATTTTATGACCTATTTTTTACTTTTTAAAATTTCAATGTCAATTACTGAGCATTTTTCTCTCCCTTCCTCATTGGAAAAAGAAAGGATGAAAAGCCAACCCTTGTCACAAATATGCATAGTCAAGGAAAACACATTCCCTCATTGACCATGTGTGAAAATATAATTCTCATTCTTCACGGCTGAGCAAGTCAAAAGGATGACTGGAGGGTGGTGGGTGACAGCAGGGAACTTAAGGAGAGGATCATGTGAGCTTCAAAGAGTAGAGGCGATTGACTGATGGCAGCAGAAAAGAGGGCTGGAAGGGTCCAATGCGCCAAGGGATTTGTAGGTGTGTCCTTGGTCCTAAGAGCCAGGTAGAATGAGAGGAGCAGCCCATTAGGGAGGACGAAGGCAGAAGGCCAACTCTGAGCTTGTGGGAGGCAGAAGGAGCACTCGAAGAAAAGAGTTAGTGTGTCAGGGTGTAATTATTTCTGATAGCATGGTATTCAAGTAGATAGCTGGTTGGGCAGGAGCTGAGCTGGGTAAGGATGAGAATATGATGGGAAAATTTTGATTGAAATATCTCAGGAAATGTCTATCTTAATGAATGTTGCTAGGTTTTATATCCTAAAATACCCTTTGTGATCTTCAAAAGAGTGACACACAGTATAGTTTTCTCCTATTATTAATTGCGAATCTGTTGTCTTTCAGCTACATTATGGGTTAAATTGGAACTTGTGGGCTAGCCTGGGAACTGGTCTTGTCTTCCTGGAAAAATGTGCTCTCAGTTCTAAACAAATGACTTACTGTTTAAGAAACTATAGCATGAGGTACAATTCTGAATTGCGAGGGGTTCCAGTTGTTGATCTGTGTGTTTTGTGAGCCTCTCGATACAGGTTTCATGACTCTAAGGTTTTCTGGGACTCTCTTGACTTTGCCAGTGACTGTCTTGATGACATTGAACTGACATCCATCATCGGCGATGATGGCCGGCGATGGAGGGGCTGGAGGGGAATCTCCTGACTGGTTCGGTTTTGTTTTTTGTCCCCAGGCCTCTTTTCCAGGGAACTTGCATTTGGTTATGGTCTTGAGGCCCACAAGTTTTATCCAGCGCACTTTCACAGACATTGGCTTTCGGTTCAGTCAAGATGATTTCATTCTCAAATTGCCGGTAAGAATGTGTAAACACTCTAATCTTCAGGAAGACTTTGCACTCTACGTTTAGGGGTTCTGCTTGCCTGGCAGCCAGGAGACATTTTAAAGAGTAGAAGCTAAAATTTAAATCATCAGGAAATTGAATTTTAAAATATTTTGATTTTTAAAAAATTATTTTATTGATGCCTTAGCTTTTCTTTTCACAGTAATTTCTGGATATTATCCCCATCCCCTGGTGTTAACCTTTCCCTTGTAACAAAGAAAATAGTTGATCTTTTCTCCCCTCAAGATCAAAGAGAAAGAATTACATTGCTTAATATTTTACAAAAGATGTGAAAACATTCATTCCTTTTTTTTTCTACTTGTCATTCCTTCAACAATTTAACAACCATTTATTAAGTGCTGGGAAGAGTTCTAGATACTGAGGATTCACAGATAAAAACAAAACAGTTCCTTGCCCTTAAGGGGCTTACTGTCTCCTTGGGAAATGCATAAATGCAAAGGATATAAAAAAATAACCCAGAGTAGTTTCAAGAGAAGAGATCCCTAGCAACTGGGAGCATCAAAGGCCTCATGTAGGAGGGAGTACTTGAGGTGAACCATGAAAGAAGCTAAGGATTCTGTATATGAAGGACAGTTATATCCCTGAGGATTCTTTTATTTCTTTTAAAGAAAAATGTGTTTTGGGATGTGAAGTAACTGGAGCTTGCATCCTAGGAAATTACAGAACCCCTTGATCCTTTTTCGGTTCTAGCTTTTAGTATAACAACAACAAACTTTTTATAGCACTTTGCGTATCTTTTATCATTTGTACCTCACTAGAGCCCTGTGAAGTAGGTAGTATAGGTATCATCGTCCTCATTTTACAGATGAGTAAACTGAGGTTCAGAATGGCTTAAAAAAAAAAAGCTCAGGGGCAGCTAGGTGGCTCAGCAGATAGAGCACCAGCCCTGGAGTCAGGAGGACCTGAGTTCAAATGCAGCCTTACTAGCTGTGTGACCCTGGGCAAGTCACTTAAACCCGATTCCCCCCCCCCCCCCCCCCCCAAAAAAAGAAATTAAAAGTGTTGGAGGCAGGATAAACATAGAGGGTGCATTGTAGTCAGTGCAAATATTTGTCTGTTTGCCTGTTGTATCCCTCTAGCAGAATGTAAACTTCCTGAGGGCAGGGACTGTTTTTCAGTTCTGTCTATGTATGATTAGAGTCAGAAAGATCTGGGTTCAAATGTCTCCTCTCACAGTTCCTACCTTTATGTAACCATGAGCAAGTCACTCAATGTCTCTGAGCCTCAGACAAATTTTAACACATTCTCTACTAAGTTTTAGGTTAGGGCTTCTGAAACTGTCATGTCCTGGACTTTTTTGGCAGTCTAGTGAAGGCTATGGATCCCTTCTCAGAATTGTATTTTTAGATGCATAAAATGAAATACATAGGATTACAAAGGAAATAGATTATGTTGAAATACAGTTATCAAAATATAAAAAATCCTAATTTCATGGACCCGAGGTTAAGAACCTCTGATGGATGTATTGGGGTGTGTGTGTGTGTGTGTGTGTGTGTGTGTGTGTGTGTGTATGCAGTTCCCACACAAATCCCAGATCCTTGTGTATTTTGAGAGTTAAGAACAAAATAATGATATTATAATAGTGATAATATAAGTGGGAAAACAACTGAAATCGGGTCCCTTGGAGGGGTTAGCCATTCTACTCTTTTTTCAGCAGCTACAGAATGAACATAGAGGCATTGGCCCAGAACCCCTTCCTTGTGTTTTGTCTTAGGGCTCTCAAGTACAGGTATCCCTTGGGTTCTATCACCCCTTTCTGAAACCTCACCTTTGGCAATGTATGCTTTTGGATGAAGGAGATTTAAGTATTTGATGTGTGTGTGTGTGTGTGTGTGTGCATGTGCAGAACTTAGAAAAATTTAGTTTTTGCAAAAATAAAAAAACATGTGAAATGTTGTTTTCCATATTCATTTGAGGACTCCAGTCAAAGGAGAGTTAACAGCATGGTGTTCCTTGTTCTTACAGGTTGTAATGCTTAGTTCTGTCAGTGACTTACTGAGTTACATTGACGAGAAGCAGTTGACCCCTGAGTTTGGAGGCACTTTGGAATACTGTCACAGTGAATGGGTTATTTTCAGAACAGTAAGTTCACTTAGAGCAGGAGTTCAGAACTGTTTTGTGTCCTGGACTCCTCTAACAGTCTGGGGAAACCTATGGACCACCCCCCTTCTCGGAATGTCTTTAAATGCATAAAGTAGGATTGCAAGGGTTACAAAGGAATCCAACGATATGGAAACACAGCTATTAAAATGTAAAAAAAATTCATAGTTCTCTGAAATCTATCCATGGATCCCATCAAACCCAGGTCATATCCCTTTGATCTAGAGCATCAGCTCCAAACTAAAAGATGATCATGAAGCTTCTGAAACTGCTTCTAGAACTGATTCTTTTCACGTATATGTGTAGGGGTGAGAGGGGTAGAATGGGTTAATTTCATACAAAGCCATAACTAGAGCTGGTTGAATGGGGCTTTGTCCCAGGGTGCTTACAACCTGGGGTGGCTGGTATCATCTTTTGGCCTCCATACAAATGGCTAATATTTCTATAGCACCTTAAAGCTTACAAATCATTTTTTATACTAGAGAGAGAAGAATATAAGTACAATCTCTGTAAAAATGGTCACCAGAACTCAGAACCCAGATTCCAGAGTTTTCCCCTTGTGGTTTTGTTTTATTAGCATCTAGGATTCATGGTTTATCCAGAAAAGACGAGAAGTGAAACTCTTCATTTGCATAGAGGATTAGCTAGAAGGGTAGGCTTGGAGTCAGAAAGAACTGGCTTTGAATCTTGCCTCTAGTTTATGCAACCCTGGGCAAGTGAGTTAACATCCCTGAGCCACAGTTTCCTCATCCTTGAAATGAGGAGAATGATAGCATCTACCCTTATATTGTGATGGTCAAATGAACTAATGCACAGAAAGTGTTTTGCAAACCTTCAAGCCCTATATGGATGTTAGTTATTATTATTATTCTACTTCAAGCATTACATTAGGATAAAAGAAAACCTGTTCCTCGAGTGCAGGATTTAAAAGACTAAAGAAACAGTGTAAGGCCATACTTTGTCTTCGATACGATGTCACTCAACATGTAGCTTGTCCCATGGAAAGATCATTTGCTCACGTGTCCAAGTAATAAAACTACCAAAATTTGGAATATTTAAAGAAAAATATTTGGAAGAGGGAGACTCATGAGGTGGCCAAGAGTGTTAGCATCTGCTTAGCCTCTTTACTGTTTACAGAGTCAAAGAATTAGTCATTTGAGAAAACAGGGCTTCCATTGGGAGCACACATATTACTGTCATGTGTAGAGGAAGAGTGAAGTGTGTTGGCAAGGCTGTTCTAATGATCAAACTGGCCCTGACCTAATCACAATCCCTCCACAGGCTATTGAAAGTTTTGCCCTGACCGTGAAAGAAATGGCACAGATATTGCAATCCTTTGGGACTGAATTAGCTGAAACAGAACTGCCAGATGATGCTTTCTCCATTGAACAACTATTGACAATCCGTACTGCAAAATACTTTCAGTTGAAGGTAAGGCTATTAGAATGGACCATTTCATTGGTGCCATGGGTTTTCCTTTCTTTGTTTTTTTTTTGTTTGTTTGTTTGTTTTTTTTGTGTGTGTGAGGCAATTGGGGTTAAGTGACATAGTGTTATGTGTCTGAGGCTGGATTTGAACTCAAGTCCTCCTGAATCCAGGGCCAGTGCTCTATCCACTGCATCACCTAGCTGCCCCAGGGGTATTCCTTTCTTTGTAAAGACAGCAGATGCCCCTTCAGTTACAGATTGCCTGTTTCCCTCCCCCTCCTCCTGATGTCTCTCTGATCTATTTTTTGTGACACACTGAATGGTGAGTCAACTACCTCAGCCTTACTATGTGCTGCTAGGTACTGTAGGCCTACAAAAACAAAAACTAATTAGTCCTTGCCCTTAAGGAACTTATATTACACTGGACAGACCCAATATGTGTACTGATTAAGTCAGAAAAAGTACATGCAAAATAATATGAAGATAGAGTGCTAGAAATGGAGTCAGAAAGACCTGGGTTTGGATTTTGCCTTAGAAAAAAATGCTGCATTGGGAATTGGGAAATATCTAGGCCTGAATAAACCACTCACCTCTTTACCCCTGGTTTGCTAATATGTAAAAAGATACGGTTGAATTAGATACCCTCTAAGGTTTCTTCTAGGCATCTAGGTGGTGCTGCAGTGCCCAGAGCTCCAGGCCTGGAGTCAGGAAGACCTGAGTTCAAATCCCAACTCAGATACTTACTAGCTGTGTGACCCCGGGCAAGTCATTTCACCCTGTTTGCCTCAGTTTCCTTATCTGTAAAATGAGCTGGAGAAGGAAATGGCAAACCCCTCCAGTATCTCTTCCAAGGAAACCCCAGATGGGGTCACAAAGAGTTGGACATGACTGCAAAACAACAAAAGGTTTCCTCTAGCACTGAGATTCCAAGATTCGTAAAATTAGCTGAAACCTTGAATGGCCTTTTAACTAATCCAGCTTTCAGATTATTCTTCTCTATTATGGACACTCTATTAGGTTTTAGGATGGAAGGTGAGGTTTTGGAAATTTAGACTATGAACATGATATTGTGGTCATTCTATTTACAGAGATTTAAAGAAAGTAATGCTGAGTTAAGAGCCTCTCTTTCTTCTGTACTTAATTTATCCTGTTAGCTTGGTGGTACAGTAGATAGTATTAGAATTAGAGTCAGGAAGACCTTAGTTCAAATTCTGTCTCAGACAATTACTGGCTAAGTGACCCTGGTCACTTAACCTTTGTTAGCCTCAATTTCCCCAGCCATAAAATGATAACGATGATGATGATGATGATGATAATGATGATGATGACGACGACAACACCTGTCTCCCAGAGTTGTTTTGATGCTCAAATGAGATAGCATAGGTAAAGTGCTTTGCAAACCTTAAAACACTTAGTAAATGCTATTTATTAAATAAGAGGCCACCGAAGCAATCATCAGTGGTAAATGTTGCACCAACTCAAGATAAGTACTTGCTTCTGTCTTTAGAAGCATACTCCTGTTTGTCATTTTTTTCTTTTCTTTCTTTTTTTTTTCATTAGGCAATGGGGTTAAGTGACTTGCCCAGGGTCACACAGGTAGTAAGAGTTATGTGTCTGAAGCCGGATTTGAACTCAAGTCTTCCTGAAACCAAGGCCTGTACTCTATCCACTGTACCACCTAGCTGCCCCTCCTGTTTGTCATTTAAAGCCTGTCACCATCTGGCTTCATCTCAGTTTTCTAGACTAGTTTTATATCACTTGCTTTCACCCAATCTACATTCTTACTAACCTAGCTTACTTCTTGTTCCCTATTTATGATCTTTCATCTCCCATCTCCCTGCCTTTGCATAGGCTGTACCTCATGCTTGGAATTCACTCCTTCCTTACTTTTCTCTTTGGGAGTTCCAAGATCCCTTCAAGGATCAGCTCAGATGCTTCCTCCCACACAAGGTCTTCCCTAATCTGGCACTTCCCTATCAAAATTACCTTGTATACACTTCCTAGTTCAATGTGTATGTAATTTTAACTGCTGATAGAATGTAAATTCCCCGAGGGCAGTGATTGTTGTTATTTGTGTCTTTGCATACCCAGCGTCTAGCTTGAGGCTTGGCACATGCTATTTAGTCATTTCAGTAGTGTCCCATTTGGGGTTTTCTTGGCAAAGATACTGGAGTGGATTGCCATCTCCTTCTACAGCTCATTTTATAGATGAGTAAACTGAGGCAAACACGGTGAAGTGACTTGCCCAAGGGTCACATAGCTAGAAGATGAGTCTTCCTCACTCCAGGCCTGGCACTCTATCCACTGTGCCACCTATGTGCCTTGCACATGGTATGTACTTAATAAATGTTTGTTAAGTCAGTAGATGAAACAGGCACAACGAATGGCCTTGTCTTCTATGGACTTAACCCTATAGGCCAGACCGCTTCTGTCCTCGATTGAGGAGGTTGACTGAGGAGACTGGTATCCATGAGCATGATGTTCAACCAGACTCCACTTTAAATGAAGCACTAGACCCCAGAACCTTTCTTTTCTTTTCTTCTTGGAGGCAGTTGGGGTTAAGTGACTTGCCCAGGGTTACACAGCTAGTAAGTTTCTGAGGCCGGAGCCTTGCTTTCAAGAAGGCTACTGATGGAATAGCTTATGGCTTCTGGGGAGATGCTATTTAATGCATCAGTGTAAAAATCTTGTTACTCTCTGTTTAAGGATCTTCCCAAACATATACTCTGCAGTAGCTGATGTATACATTGAACTGTAAGCTCTTTTAGAAAGCTGGCTGAATTGAAACCCTGGCTAGCTGAATTGTCAGGCAGGGTGGGGTGGAGCGAGTAGTGCTCCCTTGCGCAAGGTGAAGTCATTATTTTAATTTTAGTTATTAAGGTGATATAAATACTATTGATAGGCAGTTTGGCATAATGAATGGGAAATCAGGAAAAAGCTCAGAGCCTGGGCCATTCTCACTATCAGGGAATGCTAGGACAGCCGACTAAGGTCATGCATCTTCAGAGAGCTAGGATATCAAGCATTGCTTCTTGGATGGAAGGATAAAAGAGGAACTTGTAGCTGTAATGAGGGTGCACTTATTAGAATTAGGGTAATGGGCTATGAGTGAGGCTGACTTAACCCCGAGTCGCTCTCTGCCTTTGACCAGGATTGATCCAAGAGTATGGAGTAGGCTGCTGCCTACAGGTGGAAATTGACTAGCCTGTAGAGAGCCAAGCTATTACAGTAGGTTGGTTTTCCTTGCTATTTTGCTTCAAGAATATATCCTTGTGACTAAATGGAGGCAAGATTTGAGTTGATGAAACTTGAGGTTTTTCAAACAAATTTTCTCTGCTCTTATTCTTTTCCAGGAAGAGATTATAAGTGTTATGAAAGAAGGAAATATGCTGCTGAGGACCTTTGAAGTGCCTAACACCAAAGAATCAAATGAGGAACCTCCTCAAGAAAAACCCGGAGATTGGGAAACTGTTAATAGGTGAGTGCCCGGTTTCATTCAGTTCCATTTGATGAGTATTTATTAAGCACATACTGTATGCCAGGTACTGTGCTACCGTGCAGAGACATCTGGGATGCAGAGATATACAGAGACAAAAACAAAACAGTCCCTGCCCTCAGGGACCTTACTGTGCAGAGGGCAGCTTTTTTATAATTTTGAAGGGAAAGTCAGATTCTTTTGCCCTGTTCTCATAAGTATAGAGGTTTTCTTGGATGTCCCCCAACCTTCTAGATGTTATTACTGGACATTAATGGTGATCCTCATGGATCCTTAAGGTGATCCTTAAGACTGTCCCTGATGTAGTGGGATTTGGTGCCTGGATTCACATTCTAGCTCAGTGCCTTCCTTTCCCCATCTGTCAAATAAGGGGCTAGATTAGGTGATCTCTAAGATTTCTTTTAGCAATAACATTTGATGGTACTAGGAAGTCCTGGAGAGACTTCTGGTTTTCTCTTTGTGGGGCATCATGGTCTGGACCTTTGCTCCCATTTCTCAGTTGCTGAACTAAATTCTTTCTCTGGAAAATGAGTGTCATACACATGAATTAACAATCATCTTTGCACTTTGATTTGTCAAGATTACTTGCTCAACTGCACGAAATGGAAGTGGCCTTTGATGAATTTTGGGACAAGCACCAACTCAAGATGAATCAGTACATACAGCTCTCTAAATTCGAACAAAATTTTCTAGAGGTACGTTAACCCCATTGCTCTTCTCTAGGGAGATTTTAGGCCTTTTCAGTGAGATAACCTTGCTATCACAACACCTTGTGTCACTGTTTTTTTTTTCCAGATTCATAAGCAAACACAGTGGTTTGATGTATTTTAAAAAGTTTCTCTATCCTGGTGGTCAATAAAGAGAGGTGAAGTTCATTGAAAGAATGATTAGGTATTTCCAAAAAAAGGTTGAATAATTAGTAATGGGTGATATTTTTGTAGCACCTTAAAGTTTGCAAAGGGCTCTCTGTAGATCATCTACTTTGTACTGTGTGACCACTCTGTGAGGTACATGCTATTATAATAGCCATTTTACAGTTGGGGAAATTGAGGCTCAGAGAGGTGAAGAACCTTGCCCTGGGTGACATGGCTCTTAAACATCTGTGGAGGAATTTGAATCTAGATCTTCCTGGATCCAAGCCTAATAGTCTATCTTCTTTCTACTATGGATGGTCAGACTCAAGGAGTAGTCAACCTCAAAAAAAAAAAAGAAGAAGATGGGGGTGGTTCATGGCTAGACAGCAGTTTATCTGAAAAATATCTGGAGGTGTTAGTAGATTGGAAGCTTCCCATGAGGCAACAGAGTGATGCAGCAGCCAGAAAAGCTCATGTGATCTTGGGCTTCATCTGGAGGGCCCCAACTTCTAGGAATGGGTTGGTGATAGCCCTGCAGTCCTCTTCCATATTCTCCCCACATCTGGGGGATTGTGTTCAATTCTGGATATCACATTTTAGGGAGGACACGGATAATCTGGAAGATGTCCAGAAGAGGGCAACTCAGATGGCGAAGGGCCTTCAGTCTGTGCCATGTGAGGATCGGTTGTAGGACCTAGGAATGGTTAGCCTAGAGAAGAGAAGACTTAGGGAAGGCATGTGATGTCTTCAAGGCTTCAAAGGGTTGTAGAAGCATAGCTTTAGAGGAGAGAGACCTCAGATGGAACCATCCGCTCTAATCCCCTCATTTTGTGGACAACAAGGCTTTGACCTAGAATGAATTGCCCAGGTACTCAGCAGGTACCAGAGATTGGACTGAGATTCAGGGTCTCTGACTCCAAATCCAGTATTCCTTCCACCTCATGAAGCTGGAAATGGAATTAGTGTTATCCTGCTTGACCTTAGGGAGCAGAAAAAGGAGAGTGGGGGCAAGTTCCAGGGAGGTTATTCCAAACTGCAGAGCTCTCTAGAAATGTGATCCTCTGACATTATCATGCCCTTTTTATCTTCCCACCTTATCAGTGTTTATTTATATCAGTGCTGTCATCTGTCAGGGCAGGGAGTGTTGTCCATTTAAACAGTTTTTATAGCATTCCCTCTCCACTAAGCCCAGCTACATCGAATAAGATTCTGACATGGAGTTGGGAAGAACCAGATTTGAATCCTGACTTTGATTTTTACAAAGTGGGTGACCCTGAGCAGGTGATATCATTTTTTTTTGGTTAGGTAATGGGGTTAAGTGACCTGCCCAGGGTCACACAGTTAGTAAGTGTTATGTGTCTGAGGCTGGATTTGAACTCAGATCCTCCTGAGTCCAGGGCTGGTGCTCTATCCACTGCGCCACCTACTGCCCCCAGGTGATGGCATTTCTCAGAGCCTCAATTACTTCATCGATGTAAATGGGTATAGTAGTATCTCCCTCAAAGGCTAATTGAGAGCATCACAGGGGATATGAATGCATATAAAAATGGTGTTATCTATATCAATATCATGAATTCCATGAAGCCATTGTTGAATCAGGAAGAAGCTTTATTAACGACCTGGGAAGGCCGGGTGTCCTGCATGTGTGAGAACACGCATGTGGGAGCACATGTATGACAAATGCACATCTTTTTATTCCCTATTCCCCATTCGAATTTCCTTCCCCTGTTTCCCCATTTGCTGAGTAATACAGAGGTTATAGCCTATCTTAAGCACCTAATTTCCCTATATGAGTCTCTGCCCCTAATTACATCTCCCACTCCCCACAATTCTGCCACCCTGGCAATGCTTGGGGACACCTCTTTTTATGTTAACCTCCTAACTGGTTTTCTTCTAGTCTATTCACCACCAAGAGTGTTTTCTTATTCTAATAATAATTCCCTTTTGTTCAACTTCCATCTAGCCCCCAGACTGCATGCCTTAATATTTCCACTTTGCTTTTTGTGGAAATAATAATAGTAATAAAAAAACTATTTCTCTGACTCCAACCTCTGATGCAGAATCAACATCCATATATCCCACAATGACATCTCTTATTTATTATTATAGTTGTAGTTGCAAAGCCTTTCTTCCTTTTGGGCAGGCTTTTTTCCTTCTTGATATTTATAAAATCATATTTTCTAGGAGACTTAATTAGAAAGGAAAATACCTTTTAATTTGCACATGCCAGCCAACTCTTCCCTCCATATCTTTAGCTTAAGGATGCTATTGAATTCTTAATGGACCAGCATGCTGCTATACCCAGTACCGGAGACAGTGTGGTAGATGTGAAGCAAAGGCTCACAGAGTTGGGGACCTTGGATGAGATGGCTACGGTAAAGTTATATTTTCAATCCCTCCCCTTCCCCTCCTGCTAGTGAAATGGAATAAGTGTTTAGGGTGGGACAGAGCAGCTGTTCTTTTCTCATAGTACACTTCAGCAAAATTAACTAATCCTACCCTCTGTCCAGCTGCAGGAGAATAGTTGATTTTTATGACCTTGTTGGATATAGAGGGAAATGGCCAACTGGGAATGGAGCTATGGCAGGAGGCCCCTGTAGGAGTGGAGTGGACAGTTTCCTCTAATGGGCAACAGCTGTGCCAAACGCATCTGTGAAAGTGATTCTAATAAAGAGAGCAGCCTTCTAATGAGCTTAGGTGCTTGGGAAGGATGGGCAACAGGAAAAGATACAGACCACAGTTGAGAGTTAGTGCTTCTTACTCTACCCCAGGAGCTGATTGGGAAGGCCCAGCTCCTGATACTGCATGGGCACCAGCTTGCAGCCAATCACCATTATGCTGTTGACTTAATCTGCCAGAGATGCAACGAGTTAAGACACCAAACAGATGTACTGTCCGAAGAGCTGAAAGCCAAAGAGAACACGCTTACCAAGACCTTGGAACTCCAGAGTCGGCTGCACCAGGTAGTGAGCATTCTGAGAAATGGGGTCATCCCTGAGAGCAGGCTCATTCACCCTTGTGAGCTCAGCTCCCTCCTATGTGCCAGTGACTCTCAAATCTGCTAAGTGAATGCATGAATGAAAAATTATTTACTAAGTGATTACTACGTGTCAAATAGTGGGGCTAGAAATACAAAAGCAAAGATAGTTTCTTCCCTCAAGGCATTCACTTCCTAATTGGAGGGACTAGACTCCTTATGTGACATGTCTACCTTGTCTCACATGTAGCTCAGACTGAATGTATCTAAAACCAAGGTCATTATCATAGAATTCTAGAATCTTAGAATTAAAAGAGATGTCAGAGACCATCTAGCCCAACCCCAACTCAGATGGCAAAGGACCTTGAGTTCATGCCATTCGAAGATCCATTGTGGGAATTGGGAATGATTAGCCTGGAGAAGAGAAGACATAGGGAAGGCAGATGATAGCTGTCTTCAAGGTTTCAAAGGGTTGTAGAAACATAGCTTTAGAGAAGAGAGACCCTGGATGGAACCATCCCCTCCAATCCCCTCATTTTATAGCTGAGGAGACTGTGGCCCCCTCCATAAGTGGCCAAGAATCCTCTCTACTATGTACCTCACAAGTGGTCGTCCAGGCTCCTCTACTTGAAGATGTCTAGTTAAGGGGAACTCTCTACTTCCCAGGGTAGCCTATTCTACTTTGGGACAACTCTATGTATTAGGGCATTTTCCCTGACAACCGAGCCTGCCCTTCTATAACCTGAACTCGTTGCAAATTACTCTAGGGCCAAGTGGAATGATCCCTTTTCTAGACAAAATTTCGCAGTTCCTTCAATGGATCCTTATGTACCATGATCTCAAGTCCTTTCACTAGCCTAGTTGCCCTTCTTTGGATGCTCTGCTGCTTAGCAACATCCTTACTGATGTGTGACATCCAGAACCCAATGTAATACCCCAGATGTGGTTACATCAGGGCAAAATGCAGTAGGACCTTCACGCCTTACTCCTGGATGTTCTGTCCTTCTGAATGCAATCTCACGTTGAACTATCAGTCCACCAAAACCTTGTAAACGATCTTTTTCAGGACTGCAATTTATCCATGACTCTCCTATCTTCTCCTATGAAATTGCTTTTTTGACCCAAGACGTATAACTTTGCATTGATTCCTAATTGTTCTACCTTATTAGATCAGTCAATCAATTAATAATCAATATACATTGATGGATTATTAGATTCAATTCATCATTCTAGCCTGTTGAGATTGCTTTGTACCTATTCTCTTATCATTCATTGTGGGGGTTATCCTACCCAGCTTTGTCTTGACTGAAAATTTGATGAGCTCGCCATGGATACTTCCTTCCAGCTGATTGATTAAAAAATATTAATCCACACGGGACCATGCCCAGACAGTTGCGGACACTCCATTCTGCTGGAGACCTCTTTCCAAGCTGACAACTGATGAATGGGTCCTTGTTGCATCTGCTCATTCAGTTAGTTCTGAAACCACCCAACTATACTCTTTTCTAGCTAACATTGCTCCATTTTGTCCACAAAAATAGCAGGAGAGACTTTATCAGACGCTTTGATGAAATATAGACCGACTGTATCTACAGCCTTCTCCAGATCTACTAGTGTGGCAGCCTGGGTACCAGAGGAAATGTGGTTAGTCTGGCGTGACCTGTTCGTGAAGCCATGCCAGCTCATGGTATTCACTGCTTCCTTTTCCACATGTTTGCTGACCATCTCTAATAAAATGCTATAAGTTGAAGTCAATCTCACTAGCTTGTAGTTTACAGAATTAAGCTTGCATTTTTGAGAATGTCCTTCTTTAGTCCTGGAATGCCTCTCTGCAGCCTATCTGTTGTCTCTTTCGATACCCCAGAATGTGGTTGAGAACTTTCAATCCTCCCTGGGATCCTAATGATAGCAATAATAAAAATAATTTACATTTGTATGGGGCCTTAAGGTTTTCCAACTGCTCTCCATACAATTGACTCTGTGACATTTCTCCAACCCCTTTGAAATCTGCCTCCCCTAAATCGAGATTGCTTCTCAGTCTGGGACTACCTTTCTGATCTTTCTCAATCGATCACAAATCCTAAAATAGAATGGTCATCTCCTCTGCACCCCCTTCTACCCCCCCCCCCCCATTTTCCATCATCTCTCCTTCAGCAGCCAGTTTCTTTTTGTGGGAATCCAGTCCAGAACAGCAATTCCCCTTATTGCTTCCTCCACCTTTTGAAGGACGAAATAATCATTAAGGCAAGCTAAGAAATGATTAGCTAACTCTTTTTGGCAGAAGGAGGACTCCAGCAGATGTTCAGATAATTGAAGGCCCCCATCACCACTATATCATGCCTCTTTGGCAGGCTTGTGATCTGTTGCTGCTTTCTGTCCGTGTGGTGTGTAGTACTTAGAACAATGTCACTTTTATTTCTTCCTCCTTCATTCTTCACCCAAATGCTCCCCCACCATCAGGCTTCCCCACCCCGGGGCCTGGATTTCCTCATATAAATCTATTTTCTTAATATGCAATGTCCACCCCTTCCCCAAACTCCAATTCTGCTTCTCTGTACTTTTGTGCATCCCAAGTCTTTCTTCCCGAGAGCATCCCTCCTCCTGACTTTGCTATGTCTACCTGCGACCCCACCATTGACCTTGCTATCCATTTTTGTTATTGGTATTATATTGATTATACTGTCATTCTTCTTGTCTCTGCTCTCTCCTTCCCACCAGCGTATCCTACAGATTGCTACCACATAGATCCAGTCTTGCCAGATCTCGACTCAGAAGTCATTCCTATTGCCCATTGAGTTGAGTTCAGGTTGATCCCCAGGCCATTCAAAACTCTCCTCACTCTTGCCTCACCCAACCTTGCTAGCCTTTTCTCCTATTTCTCCCCTTCCTAATGCTTCTGTCCAGCTAAAATGGACAGCGTTTTGCTCCCTGGACAGGCCTTGGACTCTCCTAATCTGATCTTTGCTCACACCGGTTGCTGTACCTGGAATGTCCTCCCTCTGCTCTTGGATTGTTGACTTCACAGCCCTCTTTAAAGCCTGAGTGAAATACAACACCCTACATTACATCTTCCTCAATCCCCCTCGTGATAAAGACTAGTAACCCCAATACCCCATGTATAATGTCATTTCATATTCTCTAATAATAATGAGAGGCAACATGGTATAACAATGTAAAAGCCCAACAACCTTTCTTTGCTCTCGGGCTGTACAAAAGACAGGAAGTGGGCCCTAGTTTATTGACCCTTGGTATAGAGGATAGATAACCAGCCTGGGAGTCAGGATGATCTGGGTTCAAGTGCTGCCTCTGATGCGTACTGGCTATATAACCCTGGGCAAGTCACTCAACCTCTAGGCCAGTATATAGGACTCTTAAGTGCCAAAGAAGGTGCCAGCCAGCATTGGTAGAGGGAGTCTCCTGTACCAGTGAGATCACAGGTACAATCTCTAACAGTAATAATAACTAGCATTTGTATAGTACCTGAAGGTTTGAGAAATGCTTTCCATTAGTTCTCATTGATTGGCATCGAATATTATATATTATAGCTATTTGTGTTGTGCCTGCCCCCCTCCCCCCACACTAGACTGTAAGCTACATGAAGGGAGGGACCATGCCTTATCTAAACTTTGTGTCTTCCTTCACACCTTGTGCCGCACCTTGTGCACAAGAGACATTTGACCAATAGATTTTGTTATCAAAAACAAAGGCATTTCGAATCCGTGCACTGCCTTGTGGGTTTGGTCCCTATTTTCCCAGTGATCAATTGGCACAGTCCCTCCAGGGGGTGCTGCTGAATTGCTATCCATTATCTATGAGCTGGCTGACCAAAGAACTTTGTCTAGTTCTTGGAAGCCTTCATTCCTGTCTTCTCTTGCTATGCATCATTTACATAAAGATTTGGTTTTTTTTTTTTTTTTTTTTTGGCCAGGTATCTTTTATTTCCATTATTGATTTAAGTAAAATATGCAACACGGATCAGAAATGTAGAACAGATGCCATTGCCGTGTTCATTTTCCTTATTGCCTTAATGGATGGATATATTCAATCTTGCTTCGCTTCTCCCTGCCAGGCTCTCCTGTGCTGTGATGAGGGGGCCTATCTCCTTGCTAATCAGCCGATGGATAAATGCCAGGCAAAAGAAGGTGCTCAGAGAGCTCTTTATGACATCGAGAAGTTCCTTGATGTGACTCTCCCCAATTTAAAGTATGATCCTCGTGTCCTACAGCGGGAATTTGAGGTCATTTTGACTCCCGAACTCAAGGTATGGTATGTGCAGTCAGAGCATAACTCTGGCAGAGCGGGCACTGGCCAGGCTACTCCAAGGCTGCCTTCTGCAATAAGATCATCACTGTGGAGCTGGAAGGGACCTGGAGGTCATTAAGCCTGCTCCCTTCATTTTACAGATGAGGAAACTGAGGCCCAGGGAGATTGAAGTGACTTGCCCAAGGCTACACATAGACTCATAAACTTAGTTAGGGAAAGTGGTCTTAACAGGAGAGAGGGCAATTTGGCCCCTCGGTTCTGAGAGGCGTGTCAGGGACAGGCAGGGTATACTCCAAATTAGAGGCAAAAGTATCTGTGACTGAGCTGCCACTGAGGCCCAAATGTGGGTAGCTGACTCCTTTCCTAGTAGGGCCCGAAGCAGTCTAATTTGAGCTACTGTGGAGAGGAGTCAGGCCAGGGCAAAAAGAAAGCTTTTCTCCCTTTGGTGGCTGAGGATTGAGATTGGCCAGGGCTGTTGTACGTACACTTCAGAGCTCGTATTGCTGCTGATAGCTTGCCTTTCACATTTCTAAAACTGACCTAGAATTAGAAGGGATGTCAGAGACCATCTAGTCCACTTCTCCCTCCCATTTGATGGATTAGGAAACTGAGGTCCAGGTAGTTTGTATAATCGATGCCTTGATCCTACTTGGAAAGGAGTCAACTGCCCACATTCGGGTGGTGCATTGACTCTTCCAGCCTGGGAAGGGAAGACTTTTGTGTTTTCTCTGAAATTAAGGGCTAAGACTTGTCAGAGAAGCCTGTTCTCCCTGCTCCCTGAGTCTGCACCAGCCTTCTCAGGGTCGCTGGTTTCCTTGTGGAGGTGTTAGAGTTGTGGCTTTGTAGCCATGACGAGGCTTTACTGCATTAATCTGCTTTACATTACTTTCCTCAAGGTTTCCGACTTGACATATCTTAAGCCCTGAATTGAAATTCCTCCTTTTGGTGCGTGCTGTTCTGTTCTCTGGGGAGGCGATGGGGTTTTGGAGGCCTTCGTTTCGCTGATGATTTACATCCAGTCCTTGATCCGGCATCTCATTTTGCGCTCCACAGGCTCAGATCCAGGGTGTCCAAGTCAAGCTGGAAAACATTCGCAGCATGTTCCAGAACCGGCAGGCTTGTTTCCGGAAGCTGACAGATAAGCATTCCCGGCCCATCCAACTTGTGACACCCCGGCCCGAGCACGCAGGCAGATCCAAATCGCCGCTGTTCTCACCCAAACACGGTAAAATGGCCTGTCCTTTGTTTATCGCTATCTCTTGCTATCTTCTTAGCACAGATACCTTTTTCCCCTTAAAAAAATGTTTGTGTGATTCATTCATTCATTTTCTAATCCTGAAACATGGAACTCCTCAGGTTTGTTTAAATAGTTATATATTCAATTCAATTCAGTCCATCTCAAACATTTATTAAGCACCCTCTCTGAGCTGGGTCCTCTGCTAGGCATTGGGTTTACAAAGACAGTCCCTGCCAACAATGAGCTGGCCTTCTGCTAGAGGATCATGACATCTAAACAAGTAAGTGAATAGCAAGTGTATATAAGATAATTGGAATATCAAATTTGCAGATGCCACAAAGTGGGGAGGCATAGCTAACACACTGGATGATTGAGTTAAGAGCAAAAACAGCTCAATAAGTTAGCATATTAGGGGGACTCTGATAAGAAGACATTCAATATGAATAAATGTGATCTTAAACATCAGTTCCAAAAATCAGGTTTAAAAGTACAGGATGGAGGAGCTACAGTTAGACAGTAGTTTGCCAGAAAAAGATCTGGGGGCTCTAGTGGACTTCAAACTGTCAAAAAAAAGGAGATGCTTTTTGGGGATGTCTTATGAGAGACCTAGCTTCCAGGAATAAGGTGGTGATAGCTTTTGTATAATATGCCCCTTCGCATAGACATATATAGATAGAGAATCCAGACAGTTTACCGGAACAGAGAGTGTTTGAAAGTGAACAACATGCAGTCACACCACAGAGATTGCAAGGCTGTCATCGGCCAAAGGCAGATCAATAATTGGGATATCTCTAATGGGTATCTAGCGCCTTAGAGTTTACAAAGTATCGTCACACCCAGTCTCATTTGCTCTTTCCAGCAGAGCCCAGTGAATTGGGCAGACTTTCTTTTTTATGTTGTCCAGCTGAAACTGAGGTCCAAGGGAAATGATTGACCCAAGGTCACCTGGAGCCCTGACCAGCAGCTCAGGTCTTATGACTCCTCGTTCAGGGGTCTATTCATTACAAAGACTTTCTGCTACCACATCTCAAGACCTGGGCTTGCCAGATGAGCCTATCACTAAGTTCATTAGCCTATGGCTGTGTCCGCCAGGGATCTTTTAGCTCTCCCAGTCCTCTCTACCCCTTCTGTACCCTTTCTCCATCCCTCCACCATCCTTCCACCTGCCAGAAAGCTCCCAGGGAGTAAAATAAACTAGGATTCTTTACTTATTGTCTGGCAAAAAAACACAAAAAAGCCCTGTTCTGTGGTTTGCACAGGCTGCTGGGAAGCCATTGGCATCGCTGACGCCAGCACAAGAGATGTCTGATAAATGCTGCTGGTAATTGAATTGGTTGGCTTGTCTCAGCAGCTCCATACCCTGGAAAGGATTGGGTTGGGCTTGAGTGACTGAGTCTTTGAACCCCCATTTTCTGTCCTTTGCTTTTGCAGCTGAGATGTAACCATTTCAATTCTGAGGCCCTTGTAAAGCTGATGGAGACCAGCCTCAGGCTCTCTGTCTCTCTCCCTGTCTCTTTCTCTCTCTGTCTCTGTCTGTCTTTGTCTCCTTGTCTCTCTGTCTCACTCTGTCTCTGTCTCTGTGTCTGTCTCTTTCTCTGTCTCTCTCTCTCTTTCTCTGTCTCTGTCTCACTTTCTCTATCTCTCTCTGTCTCTGTCTCTTTCTCTCAAATTTAGCCTTCCTGAAGTTCCTCCATCAGCTTTGGGAAATAACCCTTGGTCATTTGGCCTTCTTTTTTCTTGCTCTCAACCTTATTGATCTTATTTTTATAATAATGTGCTTGACTTAATTAGAATTTTTTAATCCCTACCTAGGATCTCAGAGTATTTTTTTTCATAAGTGAACAAAGCTTTCCTGAATTCTGTTGGCAATGGTGCTGCCCTCCCCCCGCCCCACTCCTGTGTAGCCTTTCTTTGTTAGTCATTCGTTAACTAAGAAAAGTTTCCATAGAAAGTAGCTCGGGCCCCTAATGTGAAACTCTTGCCCTTGTCTAGCAATGGTGGTCTGATTTATACACAGAAGCATATATCCAGTGGAATAGGATGCAAGAGTTAAAGGATATCATTCATATAGTCTTTTGAGTCATTCATCACTTACAAAGTGGAATGTGACAAGGGTCTCTGTTCTCATGGAGGTGACAGTCTGGGGGGGAGTCTCAAGTCACAGAATTTCTGTGCCATCAGATGGCTTTAGCAGCCATCAAGTATAACCCCTGCCCCCAAAAGAATGTCCCCTATTTCTTTCAATTTAGGAAGCATTGGTAAATTGCTTACTGGGTATAAAGCACCACGACAGCCACTTGGGATACAGAGACAGATATGATAACATGTTTTCCTCAAGGAGCTTCTATTTTCCTGGGAGGAACTGGGGGTGGAGAGGAGGACAACTTTTACTACATCTTACAAGAGTTATTTTTCTTTTTTTCTAATGGAGAGGTAGGTGGGAGAGTGGCTGGTCATAGAGATAAGGTTAACAAAAATTAATAGAAGGCCCATGAGGTATCGTTTTTAAAACTGAAGAGAAGTAAGCCCAGAACTATGCCCAGAAAAGGGGGACACCTCTGAAAGCCGTAAGTTGAAATTATTATATATATATTTTTTAAAAAGTAAGCTATACATAATAGAAATAGTAGTTTCATGTACAATCTTTTTTGTTCTATGTTTACAGAAATAATCCATTATTCAAGTGTTTGTTAAGTTCAGAATAAAAATAAATTTAAAAAAGAAACAACATGTACACCAATTAAGAAATGTAAAATGCATCCACAGTAAAGAGTAATTTTTGGAGGGATTGTGACACTAACAACTGAGACAGCACTTGAGCTGAGCCTTGAAGGGAGGTGCCCATGAGGAAGCAGCCTGTGCAAAGACAGGAAGGTTGACCATGTAATGTTGTGACAAGACATACCAATAAACAAGCCAAGTTGGCTGGAACGGACTAGAATGTTCCCAATGATAGGCCATTGTGCGTTCGCCTGAGGACTTTTAATAAGGGGGCATCCGCCATTTCTCCAGACAGCACAGTCTGCTTTTGGACAGCTCTGATTGTCAGGATATTACTTTTCTGACATCAAACTTAGATTTACCTCATTATAACTTCTACCCATTGCTCCTGTTTCTGCCCTTTGGGGCTAAGCAGAACAAATCCAAGGGAATAAAATGGGACACAATTAACTGTGATACAGATCTGAATATAGGAAATACATATGTGAGTAATCTGTGATTTTGTGCAGAGTGCCACCCATCCATAGCTTGGCAGAAAAGTCTTTGAGAGTTACCTCAGGCTCAGAGAGTCTGTAAGTTAACACATAGCTAGCGTTTGTCAGAGGCAGAATTTGAATCATATCCTTTTGCTTCTAAGTTCAGCATGCTATCCACAAAGTTAGACTTTTTCTTAAGAATTAAACAAGGGAATATATCATAAGTGTTAAGAGAGAGCCAGAAATCTAGAGCTCAGCCTTGGCTGGGGTGAAATGGAAGAAGCAGTATATGTATTTGCTTTCATTAAAGGTAACCTCCAGAGTCTCCCACCACAAAGGAGGCTATTGATTAAATACATACTGTACTTTTCTAAATGATTTTCCCCATTATTATTGGTGTTTGCAATCAAAGCATTCCCATGTTTCACACACCAGCCATACTGACTTCCTGTTTTTTTAAATCAAGTTCTGGCAGGCAATATAGCAACATACAACATGATGTTTCTTTCTAATTAAACAATGGACAAGAATAGGCCCTATTATAACAGTAGGAGAAAAAACCCCCTCAGGTTCTGCCTTTTTGGCCAAGGAGGACCTCAGCTCACTGTCGGCTTTGTGCAGAAATCATTGATTGGTAAAGGAACTGGGTAAAACCCTAGAGATAATGGTGATATGACATGGGAGTCATGACTCCCTTTTGGAACTGCCCTTATCCTTCCATAGCCCAGCTCAAAGGCCACCTTTTCCATGAAGCCATTCCTTATTCTGCCTTTTATCATACTTGATTTTCATGGCCCCTGTTCATATAGACTAATTTGTATTATGGTTATTTGCCTCAACATCTTACCTTTTCCATTTAACTGTAATTTCCTTGAGAGTAGGGACTCTGTCTTAATGTGGCTTCATATTGCCTTCAGTGGCTAGCACATTTTGGGGGGAATAGACTTGTGATTTCATTAGTATAGGCAACTTTCAGTGAAGAAACCCCCTTTACCAGTGCAGATTGGTCCCTGTTTCAGAAGTCTTAGAGACTTGCCTGGGGCCACTGAGAGTTGAAGTGACTTGTCCAGGGCCACACAGCCAGTATGTGTCAGAGTGGGACTTGAACTCATTTCTTAATTCTAAGGCAAACAACTCTCTATACACTATGCCAGGTGAAATCTCATTTTAGATATTAAATAGCTATTTATTTCATAAGTTAACTACATGATTATTTTATATGTTGCTTATTCCCTTAATAGTTGACATTCAGAAACTTCACAAAAGCATTCCGGTACTTTTTCTCTCTAGAGTCAAAAAATGGTACAATTGTTTGTGTATGCTGAACTAGTAAGATTAAAAAAAAAAAAACACTGTCAGTAAGCAGCACCGTGGCAAAGAAGTAGGATTTTTAAGGGCATTGAGATTAAAAAAAAATTCTCTCCCAAATACCACTCTTGATTCTGGAAAGAGGGTGAATACCACTTTCAGTATGCCATGTAATCTTCTGGAAGTCATGTGGCTAAGAAAGATGAATTAGGTTTAAAGCTTAGGACAGTTTGCATGGCTCCAAAGGGGATGTTGGCAGTTTGTTTGACTAGCTTCTCCCCTTCGATGATATATTGGCCATTTGTGGCTCACATTGCTTCAGGAAAGAACTATGTTGTTGGCAACTACATGACAGAAAGGTCAGTGTGGCAGGGAAGAATGTTAGCAAAAAACGGTCTCAGGCTTGAAATGGGACAGTACTTTAACTTTGATGGAGCTGGAATGCTGTCCATATGGCTACCCCACTGATATAGACTGCAGCATATTCACACCCTTTCATCCTGTGTAATTCTTCTCCATGACCTCCTAAACCCCTCCTCCATCAAGGTTCTCCCCATCATGCTAGAGGCTTTCCTTTATGTCTTTTAATATTTTGTAGATACTAGTGTCATATTCGGGCTGTCTGCTTGTTACCCTTGTCATAATTGGCCCACTTCCATTTCTACTCATACATGTCCTCAAATGGGTCTTCTTTGGCCCACTATTTGTGCACGAGCCATTTTTAGCCTGTGTTACAGCCTGTTTACACACACTGTATGATTCTCCGTGTTCTGTTAGGCCATTCTAATAATAAAATATTCTTGTGCTTAATATGCTTAACCACAAGAGCCATTCTAGTGGGTACAAGGTGTTATTTTGTATCTCCTTTTCCATTTGGCCAATTCTACTTTTTAAGCAGTTGGGTTTTTTTTTTCAAACTGTCGACTCTTTTCTTCGTAATTCTCTTGCATCACTCTCATTTATTTTCCCAATTTTTCTTGTACCTGTCTCATATATATTTTTTTTTTTGGTTAGGCAATCAGGACTTGCCCAGGGTCACAGCTAGTGAGTATCATGTGTCTGAGACCAGATTTGAACTCAGGTCCTCCTGACTCCAGGGCTGGTGCTCTATCCACTGTGCCACCTAGCTGCCCTCTCTTATATGATTTTTAAGCTCCTTTTTGAGCTCTTTCATGAGTTCTTTCTGGACTTGAGACCACTTCACATTTTTCTTTGGGGTTTTGCCCATAGGTGTTTTGACATTGTTGTCCTCTTCTGAGTTTGTGTCTTGATCTTCCCTGTCACCATAACAAATGAGGACTATTTAAAGAATTCTGGGCAAAGTTAAGCAGTGTCTACACAAAACCACAGAGAGTAAATTGATTCAGCCAATTCAATACAAACAAGCAAACAACCCCAAATCCCAAACCCAATAAACCAGTTGATTTGGGGCTGTTTGACATCGGATGGAATATATTTACACTGAATTTTGGAAGCATTTTACCAGTGGGGGTTGGGCATGAATACAGTTAAGTATGGTTTGGGTCTACCTTGCTTTACACAGTATAAGCGTTCCTAAAAGATTGTATATACCTTAGATTTCTGTCACTGGAACTATTTGGAGTATACTGGTAAAGAATCATATTTAAAGCTAATAATTATCCTCTAATTTGTCTTTTGTGCTTTTGAATCTGTCTGTTGGGCTTTCATAGAGTAAGGCCTGTTTATAATCTCTGAGAAAATTAGTTTTTATTACAAGTATGTATAATTCTTCTTTAAAGAAAGAGAATAAAGGCGATTTGGTGTAGTAGATAGAGTGCTTGGCTTAGAGTTAGGAAATCCTGGGTTCAAATTCTACCTCTGAAACTTATTAGCTTGTGTAGTCCTGAGCAAGATAATCAGTCTGTCAACAAGTGTTTATTAAGTGACAAAAAACAATCCTGGCTCTCAAGGAGTTCACATTCTAAGGGAGGAGATGATATGCAAACAACTATTTACAAACAAGATCTATCTAGGCTAAATTGGAGATATTTTCAGAGAGAAGGCACAAATATTAAGAAGGGCCCAGAAAGGCTTCTTGAAGAAGTGATGGGATTTTAGCTGAGACTTAGAAGAAACCAGGGAAGTGAGAAGTTGGAAGAAAGAGAACATTCCAGGCATGGAAGGATAACCAGTGAAAAGGTGTGGAGTTGGGAGATGGAGTGATTTATGCAAAAAAAACAGCAAGAAAGCCAGTGATCATGGATCATAGAGTACAAGGAGGGGAGGGAAGTATAAGAAGACTGGAGAGGTAGGAAGACATTGGATTGGGAAGGGCTTTAGAAACCAAAAAGAGGATTTTCTATTTGATCCTGGACATAATAGGGAGCTATTGGAGTTTATTGACCAAGTGAGTGACGTGATCAGACCAGACCTTCAGGAAGATTTTTTTTGGCAGGTAAGTAGAGGATGAACTGAAGTGGGGAGAGACTGACTGTGAGACCAATCGCTATTGCAATAGTTGAGACACAAAAGGATGAGGGCCTATACCTGGGTGGCAGCTCTGTCAGAGGAGAAAAGGGGACATATATGAAAGCTGTTGTAAAGGTAGAAACAACAGGACGTGGCAACTTATTGGATGATTGGGAGTAAGGAATCAAGGGTGACACCCTAGATTGTAAGCTTGGTTTCCTTGGAGAATGTTGGTGATTAAGAAAGTAATAGAGAAGTTCAGAAGCTGGGAAAGTTTTTTGAGGAAAGATAATGAGTTCAGTTTTGGACATGTCAAGTTTAAAATTTCCATGGGACTTCTGTTTGAGATGTCCAGAGGCAGTGAAAGAGTGCATGAAGAGTTCTGAAAATCATCTTCATGGAGATGATAAATCCATGGGAGCTGATGAGATCACCAAATGAGATAAGATGGAGGGTTAATACAACTGTCATGCAACTGTCTAGGATGGATATGCTTGGTTATGGATGAGTTGTGATCTGCCTTGTGGAGGGAACTCACATACTGTGAATCCAAAATGCTGATGAAATCACAGATCCTTTACATGTTCATGCAGCTAATGGGACACAATGGAAAGAATGTTATACTTGGGGTTAGGAGACCTTGGTTCAAATCCCACTTCAGATGCTTATTAGTCTTAAGACCCTGGGGACTTCACTTAATGTCTGTGTGGACCTCAGACAATTCCTTAGGACTTATCTCCTACATCAAAAATGAGTTATCATCTGAAATGGGAGAGAGAGTTTCTGCTTTGGAAGAAACCCCAGAGACTTCACTTTTTCATGTAAATAGAAATAGTGAGTTACAGTGTACAGAGAGCACAACCTTTCCAGCATTTTCCGTTTGTTTTTTAAGGACCCAAATGTGTTCCTCTCCTGAGTACTAGCCTTAGCACTTATACCTGGGAATTGGAAACTTCTAGAATCCAGCCTTGGCTGGCCCAGTCGCTGGCTGTTTGGGAGCATTTGGTTTGGTTATTTAAGCTCCCTGCCTTTGCCAAATCATTTTTAAGATGTTCTTAATAATTGTGGAAGCTTTTATGTAGATTGAGATTGTGTGAAAGTGGTCACTGATTGTTCAGCATTTTTAAAGGCCTCTAAGATATTGTACTATTATTATGTGAAATTGACACCCTGCTATAGCTCACCCGGTGGTTCACTTAACCTGTAAGTTCCTGATTCCTCTGCAGGACCAAATCCAAATCTTAAAAATTCCTCTTCACCTCACTGTTTTCAGTGTTATCTTTGAAGCAGGATTAATGGAATACACATATTTCAGTATTCATATTGAAGTCAAATGAATGATTCTCATATTTTCTTTATTTTTATTGAAGGGATGGACTTTAATTCTTCTTTGAAATTCTCCTTTGATCTCTCTCTTCCTGGGAAGAAGTCAAGAAAAACTCAGAACTCACTAAAAGTAAGAATCATTGCTAATGAATTTTATAGCAAGGGTTTGAATCTCATCTCTGACATTTACTGGCTGATTGACCATGGGCAAGTCATTTAACTATCTCTGAACTTTAAGCGACTTTCTCTCATTATAGAAGGGTCATGATCAGCATCAAGGGGGAAGGGAGGTCATGTGCTGGATGTTCTGAAATTGACTGTGGAGTCCCAGGTTATTGGTTTGCCACTCTTGAACATGGCTCCATGAAGTTGCAGACTGTTGATATTTATGACTTATGTTTAGGTGGGAAGGTCATTAAAAATGGATGTTACTGTCTCAGGCTAAGACCTAATATGAAACGGGTGGTGTGACTGTGGTTCTTCAGTTTCTAAGCTGATTTTGCTTTAAAGCTGATTTGTATTGCTTTCAAATGTCTTCCAGATTGAAGTGATGCATGATTATGAAGAGAAGAGAAATTCCTTACAGCATGCTATTTCGGAGAATGAAGACAGCTTGAATGTGCTCAAAAGGTACTGTCGCCTCTGCCCTGCCCCCTTCCCCCAACCCTTCCTTTTCATTCATACCCATTTTAACAGATAGAAGTGATGTGGAGGTTGGGAGACAATATGATGTAATAGAAAGATCACTGGATTGGTAGTCAACCTGGGTTCAAATTCTAGCTTGGCTATGTACTTCTCTGCTAAATTCTCTGCTAAACTGGGGGGAGGGTATAGGAGAAAAAAAGAGAGAGGGAGAGAGAGAGAGAGAGAGAGAGAGAGAGAGAGAGAGAGAGAGAGAGAGAGAGAGAGAGAGAGAGAGCGTGAGCACAAACATAGTAGACCAGGACACTGAAGAACTGGATTTTCATTCCAATATTCTCATTTGTGGGATTCTATGAGTTTGGCAAGTCATTTCCCCCTCTTAAGCCCCTCTTTCTTCCTCTGTAAAATGGGAAAATGACACATTCCCTACCATGTCAAATGTGTTTGAAAGCACTTTGGAAGCCATCAAGTGCACAGAAAATAGAAGGTGATATTTTGCACATCCTGCAATAATTGTTGTTTTGATAATGGTGTAGCAGCATCCTAGGATAAGGAAGTAAAGACATTTTGCTAATTATAATAAAAGCTCCTATTTCTATGGTGCTTTAAAGTTTAAAGAGCACTTTACAAACACTGTTTCCTTTGATCTTCCCAACCCTGCCAGCTTGATGATGTTGCTCTCTCCATTCTACAGATAAGAAAACAAGCTTCAGAGAGGTAAAGTGACTTGGCCAGAGTCACACAGGTAGTAAGTTTCTGAGGCAAGATTTAAAAATATTCAAGAGGGTATTAGCCCAAAGGTATTTGAAAGTCCCCAATGGGTCAAAGTGAGAAGTTCCATTAAAGTGCTATTCATGCTAGGTAGAAGAAGAATTTCATTTCATATTACCTTGAAAATGAATTTTAACTAAGGATGTGCTTCACAAGCTCTACTACTACTGTCTTCTGGCAGGTTTCTAAAGTAGGCAGAGGATCTGTCCACTATATGTCACAGAAAATTTTCAAGTGACAGAGAAACAGGGGGCAGTGAGAGGACTGTGTTTAAAACACTCATTGAAATAATGAGAGAGTAAAGGGCAATACATTTTTTTTTGTAGTCCTGAGGAGCATTGTCACCACTGGAGGAAATTCCCTCCCCGATACAGCTTAGTTACTTACGGCTAACACATTCTCTTAGACGGTTGCCTTGGAAACGGAGAGGCTAGGTAATTGCCCGTGGTCACACAAGCAGTATGTGTCAGAGACAGATTTTGAACTTAGAGCTTCCTGATTCTAAGACCGTGTTCTAGAGTCAGCTCATGCTGGCTTATGAGAGCTGCCTGTTGAAACTGTCAATGTGAGCATTTACACCTCAGAAATTGGCAAATGCTACAAATCGGGGTTTGATTTATTATTCTGTTGATTGTTTAGACCAGAGGTGTCAAACATAAAGCCCACAGCTCACAGCTGCAATGCTCCTGAGTGTAGCCAGAACCAGATTGAAATGTAATTGGGAAATATTTAACAAAATAAATAAAAATACAATAAAACATAAACATCATTGCCTTTTAAAACTAAGTCAATATGAGATCTGCAGGGATACTTATGAATGGTTTAGTGGCCCCTGTTTCTCTTGGAGTTTGACACCACTAGTCTAGATTTCAGAAAGTGATGGTGAAAGCATTAATAATTGGATTAAACTTATAAGTGTGTCATGCACACATTTTTTTTTCCAAAGAGACAGTTGTTAAACATTTATCATCGCAGAGCTGGCCAACCCTCTAGCCACTGCATTGTATTGCCTCTCTGGGAGATATAAATATAGGAAAAACAATTCTGCTGTCCAGAAAATCTCAGTATTACTGTGATGTTTTTCCAGTGAATTTTTTAACTACTGAAATTTTAAAAAAGTTTTATTGATGCCTTAAAAAAAAACCCTCCAGACATTTCCTCATTTATGCCTTCCTCTTCCCCTCCCAGGGCAGTTTCCCTTGTGACAAAGAAAAAAAATCAAAACCAACTATCCAACATATCAGCCTTATCTGACAATGTAGGCAGTATTCCATACTCTTAGCCCCCTCCCTCTTCAACAGAAGGAGGGATGTATATTTCCATTGTTATAGTCATTGTATATATTTTTTCCTGACTCTGCACACTCCATTCTACATCAGTTGATACAAGTCTTCCCAAGTTTTCCTTAGTTCCTCATTTTCATTGTTTTTTTTTTTTTTCTGTGGCACAGTATTATTTCATTAGGGGCAGCTAGGTGGTTCAGTAGATAGAGCACTAGGCCTGGAGTCAGGAAGATGTGAGTTCAAATGTGGCCTCAGATACTTACTAGGTGTGTGACCCTGGGCACATCACTTTACCCTATTTGTTTCACTTTTCTCATCTGTAAAATGGGCCAGAGAAGGAAATGGAAAACCACTCTAGTATCTTTGCCAAGAAAACCATTGGCGTCATGGAGAGTCAGACATGACTGAAATGACTGATCAACAGTTATTTTTGTTGAATTCATATACTGAAATTTGTTTAGCTACCAACCCATCAAAGGAAACCCATGTTGTTTCTAGTTCTTCAGTATTACAAAGACTATGACTATGGATATTTTGGTATATATGGTACTCTTATTTCTATCTTTGACTTCTTTGAGAAGTTTTTGCATAAATTAGCAAAGCCCAAAAAAATTTGATAAGTTATAGAAAGAATGGGCAAACTAATGCACTGTTGGTGGAACTGTGAGTTGGTCTATCTATTCTCGAAAGTAATTTGAAATTATGCAAAGAAAGTGACTAAAATATCCATACCCTTTGACTTAAAGATCCCATGTCTATCACGTACCCTAAAGATGTCAACGACAAAAAAGGCTCTATAAACACTGTAATAGCAAAGAACTGAAAACAAAGTAGATGCCCATTGAGTAGGCAGTGGTTAAACCAACTGGTACATGAATGTAATGGAATATTACTGTGCTATAAGAAACGATGAATACAGAAAAGTATAGAAAGATTTATATGAACTGATACAGAGGAAAGTTAGCAGAACTAAGAAAACAATGGACACAATGACTGCAATGATGTAAATGGAAAGAATAATGATAACAAAAGAATCACAGCTGAATGTTCAGAAATGATAATGACTGAGCTTGTCCCCAAAGAAGAGATAGGAGAAAGTATCTTCCCCTTTGCCTGTGGCTTGTTTATAGAGGTAAGGGACCGTGGATATGGCACATTGCATATAAGATCATACTTTTTAATTTGTTGGTTAGTTTTGTTGAACTTTTTTTGCTCTTATTTTTTATTGTTTAGTATAAGTGATTGACTTAGGAGGGTGTGTATGGAGGGAAGCATTGAGAAATGAAGGTGATGTAAAAGCAAAATATATCAGTACAACCAGAATAATAAGGAGGGGGAACTTTGTATTAATTATCTCTGACAAGGGTCTTGAATCCAAGATATGTAGGGAGTTAACACAAATACGTTAAGAACTATTCCTTCGTAGATAGATGATCAAAGGATACAAATAAGCAGTTCTAAATAGAATTGCAGGCCATTAACAACCATATGAAAGATTTCTCCAAGGTACTAAAAATTTAAGAAATGTTCATTTAAATAATTTTATGGTTTTACCTCATACCCAGCGAATTGGCAAAGATGACAAAAAGATGGTCACTGTTGGAGTGACTGTAGGAGGACAGACACTGTTGATGGCACCATAAATTAATTGGTCCAGTCATTCTGGAAAACAATTTGGGATTATGTGAAAAGAATTACCAAATTATTATACTCAATTATTTTTTTCCAAGATTCTACTTCAGAGAATAAGGATCAGATTTTATCATAAACTTTAATAAGTCATTATTATATGGATCAAAAAAGAAGATAGGGCCAACCATTTTAATGAGTAAGGTGTTCCATATGCTCCATTGGTATTTTCAAGATGTCAGGAAAACTGGAGGAAGGCTCCTTGCTCATTGGGTAGAGTGCCCTCACCCATAGTAAACTTATGGGAGGGCATGGAGGATGGGTTTCAACTTGCATCATTGGAGGGAGTATGTATGTCTATCTTGTGATTATGTGTGTAAATCCATTAGAGTGTTGGGACACCTAGAGTTTGGAGGAGCCTTTAAGAGCATCTAACCCAACCTCTTCATTTTGCAGAGGAAGAAACAGGCTCAGAGAGGGGAGGTGACTTACCCAAGGTCACACAGTAAGGACTCAAATCCAGTTTCTTGTGCTTCAAATACACTCTTTACTAATAATTTTTAAAAAGTAGGTTGTTGTTTTTGAACCTCCGGAATACATTTTAAAAATTCATTTGACCTGGTTAGAGAGTTGGGAGAATGAGCAAGCATAATGCTTAGCTTAGAAGTCTTTTAGCAAGATTTCAGTTACTGACGTTAGGACCTAAAAGCACTTAATTTCTAGCTTTGACTATAGATCTTAGCAGGTGTTTTGTCTGAACTGGTTCTTTTCTTTAGGTGGCTTAGATTGTCTGATTCTCATTTGACAATACAATCCTGACTGATGTACAAGGGCAGCTGTGCTTTCGTGGATGTCCCTACCTCACAGGGTTTATTTAGGCTTTGATGAACCTTAAAGTACCAAAGAAATAGAGATTCTAGAAATTAAAGGGGTTTTCCCTTTTTTTCCAGCCATGTGATAAATGAACTAATTGAGACCGAGAGGGTATACGTGGATGAACTGTCCACTGTCTTGGTGGTGAGTGCCATTGTATTTCAGTCACTTCCCTACCCCTCCTCCCCTTTGTCTGAAATAATATCTTGCATTTATAAAGAGTGTCTCAAAAGTCTTGCTGTAGTTTTAAGTTATTGAATCTTAAAACTGCGCAAGTGTATCTGAATACCCTGTGTAGTGCTTTTATATACATTGTCTCATTTAATCTTCAAAACAGCTGATTGAGGTAAGTATTCCTGGTATTATTATCTTATCTTTGACTTTGTAAACAAATCCTAAGGAGGTGCCTAATACTCAGAAAAGTTAGGTGACTTGCCCAGGGTCACATAGCTACCAAGTGCTTGGAACAGGATTTAAATTCAGGTCTTCCTGGTTCCAAACCCTGTACTCTATCAAGGCTGCCTTGATTTTCATATTGTCATATTCATGCTAGACTAAGTTGTCATGATGTGTGTGTCAACGGGGTGTTTCTTTCACTTTAAATTCTAATCCAAACCAATCCAGCAAGAATTTGATATTATATGCCAGACGCTAGAATACATTTTTCAAATAGAAAAAGAGCTCTTGCCTGAAAAAGCTAACAATTATATGACATTAAATTTTTTTTTAGTGCTTTAAGGTTTATTATCATATCACATGTGCTCATTTGGGTCTAATCACAACCCTGAGAATTAGGTAGGGAAGAAATATCATTGCCCCCATTTTCATGGATGAGAAAACTCAAAGCCCACAGAGTTGAAAGGATTTGCCCAAGTCATGACTAACTGGATAGGACTCGAGCCCAAGTCATCTGAACCCCAAGTCCAGTGCTGTTTCCATCATATATCACAATCCCCAAGCAGCACTCCAACTGCAACAAGCCACTCTGTGTCTGAAAAAATAGCTTCTCTCTGACATAATGAACTCAGGCTAAAGTAAGAGCCTGGCTTTACCCATTCAACCAGCATATGTTACGATAATGATGGCAAAAGGCAACATTATAGACCAAGACATGGATGTTAATGGAAAGTTGCTCAAGGTACTTAATGGAATTCATAGGCTCACGTCAGGGAGCATGGTATGGTGGAAAGAACACTGAACTGAAGTTAGGAAAGATTCAAATCCTGCTTCTGATGCTTAGCAACTGTATGACCCTGAGAAAGTCACAGCTTCTCAGAATCTCAGCTTCCTCATCTCTTAAAATAAGGATAATAATACCAATAATATTAGTAATGAGTGAGAAAATTATTAGGCAGCATAAGATCTGAGCTTAATAAACTGATATCTGTTTTTGGGTTGGCCAGGGCTACCGAGCAGAGATGGACAACCCTGGGATGCTGGCGCTTATCCCACCTGCCCTGAAAAACAGGAAGGACATTCTCTTTGGGAACATGCCTGAAATCTATGAATTCCATAACAAGTATGTTAATGATGGATCAGACATTCTTACTTCATAGAATTGTTTTCCCTCATATATCCAATGGAAGAGTTGTCTTATCTTCTCTCTAAACTTTTCACAGGATTTTTCTGCACAGCCTGGAAAGCTGCCTTGAAGCACCACAACGTGTGGGATTTTGTTTCCTGGAAAGGGTTTGTTAAATCATTGTTCATTTCCCAATATAGTTTCCCCTCTCTCAGAGAATCATCCCTTAGAACGGGAGTTCTTGACCTGGAGTTCTTAGGCCCACCTGGTTTCCAGGCTTCAAGATTTCTACCTTGCTGTACTGAGGGGAGCCTAGTTGACCCAGGCAATCTGTAGCTCCATTTACATATGCGCCATTGTGGGTATGTTGCCCTTTGTTAAAGCAGAGACCATGAACACAGGTGGCACTTTCTCCTTAAATGTACATTCTTGGAAACCTAACACTGAAAACAGTCTTTAATGGCTATTTACCATGGAAAGCCATGAAAACCAGTAATTTACCACTGAAAGCCATAGAAAATGGTTTTTTTTAATCACTAAACCTCTCTGGGGAGATCAGCAACTCCCTGTACCCAAATCATGTTGGTGTACTTTTCTCATGCCTGTAACCTCTTGTCCACCCCCACCCAGCCTGGAGTGCTGTCCCCTCCTCCCTATTTTCCATCACATATCTAGATTCTGCCCTGTCCTCATAGCTGAGCACAGGATCCCCCCTCTTCTGCGATGTCCTCCCAGAACCCCTTAACCTTCAGTGGCTTCTCCATCCTAATTCCTTTTGTAATTCTCTGAGACTTGCTATCCTTAATTAACCAGTCAATTAGTAAGCATTTATTAAGTGCTTACTATGTGCCACATAGCTAAGTGCTAAGCCACTTGGGATATGCAGAAAAAAGGGAAAGTAGCTTCTACCCTCGAAGACCTTATGTTTTAATGAAGGAGATCGCACATATGTACACAGGCATGTATCAGATATATGTGATGGAGAAAGATAAGGAAACTTTAGAGGGGGACAGAAGTAGCAGCTGCAAGCTATTGGGGGGAACCAGGAAAGACCCCCTATAGAAAGTGGAGCTTAAACTGAGTCTTAAAGGAGGCAGAAGGCAGGGAGGAGGGCATTCCAGGCATGGGGGACAGTCTCTGCAAAGGCATGGAGATAGAGATGGAGCATTGTGTGTGAGGAACAGAGAGTTGACCAGCCTTCTGGACTATAGAGTTTATGAAGTGGAGTAATGTGGAAAAATCCTCAAAAGAGAGGGAAGAGTCAAGTTGTGAAGTGCTTTCAATGCCAGAGGAGATTATATTTGAGCTTAGAGGGAATAGGGAACCACTAAAGTTTATCGATTAGGGCAGTAACTTGGTCGGGCCCATAAATCTTCTGGGCAGCTCAGTGGTGCAGTGGATAGAGCACCAGCCCTTGAGTCAGGAAGACTCCTTTTCGGGAGTTCAAATCCAGCCTCAGATGCTTGCTTGCTGTGTGACCCTGGGCAAGTCACTTCACCCTGTTTGTCTCAGTTTCCTCATCTGTAAAATGAGCTGGGGAAGGAAATGGTAAACCACTCCAGTATTTTTGCTAAGAAGATCTCAAAATTGGGTCACAAAGAGTCAGACATGATCGCAAACGACCATAGATTTTCTGTCTTATTTTCTTATATATAATTTTATGCATATTTCCCATTCCTCTAACTTTACTATTGGCTCCTTGAGGGTGGGGACTATGTCCTCTACCTCTTTGTCTGCCCACTACCTAGTGGTGCATTACATATAGAGGGGAATTGACCTCAGGTGTTTGTGGCATCAAGATCATCCCTCTCTGTACCATGATATGCTTCTTCTCCATCCCCTTTTTATTTATTTTTTTTATTTTTTTATTCATCTTGATTTATCAATCATCACTTCAATATGCTTTTGAGTTTAAAATTTTTCTCTCCCTTCCTCCCCACATTCATCCTCTTTTTACAGGTGAGGAAATTGAAACTCAGAGAGATGAAGTGACATGGCCAGGGTCACACATAGTTAGTATGTGGTAGAACTTTGATAGGCACCCTCCCTGCTCTCAGAATCAATAAATAAATCAGCCAGTATTAATTAAGTGCTAGGTACTGGGGAGATGAATACAAGAAACAAAGCATTTGCTACTTGCAAAGAGTTTTAGTTCTAATGGGGGAGATAGCAAGGACAGATCTAGAGTGTCCCAAAAGTCTTGGTGCCGTTTTAAGCTTTAATAGCTAGACTTTTTAATAGCTTGATATGGGATAACATGTATGAGTATATAAAGAATAAATAGAAAGAGGATAAATAGAAATATGCAGAAAACAGTTGAACACAAAGTAGTTTGAGAGAGATATGCCTGGGAGACTGATCACTGTATTGAACATGTGTAGAAGATTTTATTTTTTACTCTAACTTTCAAGACTGTTAAATGATTGGTCTGAAATTCATGAATTGTAGTATTTGCTCATTTCTGGTGTCTAACAGAGTATGTGGTGTATGGTAGGTACTTACTAAGTGTTTTCTGAGTTCATAAGATTGTAGCATCTTAGATTCAGAACTGGAAGGGACCTCAGAGGCCATCTAATTCAACCCCTTCATTTTATAGAGGAGGAAACTGAGGTCCAAGAAAGGGAAGGGACTTGCCCAAGGTCACAGTGGGCTCCTAGTTCTAGAGCTGGAAAAGACCTCAGAAGCCATCTAGTCTAACCCCCTCATTTTACAGAGGAGGAAACTGAGGCCCAGGGAGGGAAAAGGACTTGTCTAAGGTCACACAGGTAGTAACAGTGTCAATTCATCATGATGCAGCAGAGATTGGCCTGTTCTTCATAGGCATTAATGTCTCTCCATGCATGCTTCTAATCTAGCCTTGTGATCCAGACATTTGGAAAAGGACAACAATATTGCATTTTTTTTTTCTCCCAGAGGAGCGACTTTCAGATCTATGAGAAGTACTGTCAGAACAAACCCAGATCTGAGCTACTTTGGAGGCAATGCTCAGAAAGCGCCTTTTTCCTGGTGAGTGTTATTTTACTGGGGAAGGGAGGGCAAAGTGATGAGTTATGCTAATTCTTCCTGGAATTTTGCTATCAGGCTTACCCCACATGTAATGCACATCATAGATTGAATGCTAGAAGGGACCTTATAGGTCATTGGGTCCAACCCCTTCATTTTACAAATGACGAAACTGAGGTTAAGTGACTTGCCCAAGATCACACAGTCAGTTACGTGGTAGAGGTCTATTTGAACTTAAGTGTTCCTGACTCTTGAGTAGTTCTCTCTCTATTATACTGAACATCCAAGAGTGCTCCACTTTTTTTGGTTGACTAATTTTCTCCTCCATCCTTGTAAACTACCCTTATTTCACAAGCTGCCCTCTGACCTTCTGGTGTATACCCCTCTCCCCAACTAGCCCAGACTCTGTCTGCCTAATTAAAGGTCCCTAAATCTTAGGACTCAAGGTCATGGCCGTGCTGTGCCTGGTGATAGTATGCCAATAGCCTAAAGGAATATAGCATAGTGATGTGAGTTGTGTTTTCCTGTTTTATGAAAAAGTCCTTTATGTACATCCCACATAATTTCTTTTCAACTCAGACTAATTTTTTTTTTTCCAGGCTGGTGGCCTGTGGAACCCATACTCATTTGCATCAATGTCTTAGGAAATGTTTTCACATTAGAATCCAGTCCATCCTTCTTTCCCTAAATGTTTTTTTTTTCCTTTTATACATCTCTTTAACATACCAATTCAATGCTAATGTACCCTTTTAAAGTGTAAATTATTCAGTAAACCCTCTGCTTTTTAGGACTGTAGAATTTAGGGGCTTCCCTCTACCACATTAATGGGATAATTTCTAGTCTTTTCTAAACTATCTTATACACACTAAGCTCTTAGGCCATCTGGGATGTCTTCTGGTTTCTTTTTTTTCCTCTTTCTCCTATTTGAGGCTTAACAGATATTCACATTTTTGAACTAGTCATTTAATAAGTGGCACTTTTATGGGTACATGGTATAATTCAGATTCGTTGATCTTTCTGTTATTTTTTTTTTTGTGACTCAGGAATGCCAAAAGAAACTAGAACATAAACTTGGCCTGGACTCCTATCTGCTCAAACCAGTGCAACGCCTGACAAAATATCAGTTGCTTTTGAAGGTATTTGCATGATGCCTTTTGTTGCTTATTAATTTCTGGGGAAATCACAAAAGGTTTTGGTAGCTCACTAAGCTGCATTTGGAATAGGTAGACTCTAGGATTTGCCAGGTCAAGTACCATACTGTATTAAGTTGTATTCCCCAGTTACTCAGAAGATTTCCGTCTTCCTTCCAGCAATGCATCCCATCAATGCCTGCTTATTCCAGGCAATTCTTGGTCATGTGCCCTTGTAAGTCACCACTGGGGGTTGGTTGGCTTTATTCATTTTAACTCAATGTGACACATTTTTATTAAATACTAAGTATTTTATTGAGTATTAAGTATCTGCTAGGCACTGTGCTAGGTTGTGGGATGCAAAGAAAAAAAAATCCTTGCCCTCTAGGAGCTTATATTTTACTAGGGAGACATGATCTCCACAGATAATAATTACAAAGAAACTTCAAGACTGTGAGAGTGCTAATGAATGGGGGCAATTGGGGAAGACCTCAACTAGGAAGTGGTCCCTAAGCTGTGATTGGAAGGAAACTAGGGATTCTGAGAGACAGGGATTAGAAGGAAACGCACAAAATGGAAGGCCACCCATGCCAAGGCATGGAGAGGGGGTGAGGAAGAGAAATGTTGTCTATAGGCAACAGCTAGCAGGCCAATCTGCCTTGAATGGAGAGTATGTGAAGAAGAGAAATATGAAATAAGACTGGAAAGGTTAGTGGGAGTCAGATTGTGGAGAGCTTTAAATGAAAGACAAAGGATTTTCTGATAAAAACATTATTCAGTAATACCTTGCATAATTTTGCCCCTAACCAACCCCTGTTCAGAGTGGCATCATTGGTACATAATATTGAAACCCCTCTCCCTGGTATCATTCATTGTATCTGCAATGCTAATTAGATGTTTGGCATTGAGCTCATGCTTCAGCCCTTGCGGTTTTAACTCCCCTGAGTTGGCTTACTGCCACATAGCTTACTACTGATAGATGATACTTAGTGCCCCCTGCAACATTGTTTCTCCTAATTTAAAATTTTTATGGAACCATTTAATGACATAAGCGAAGGTATGCCTATTTTTTGAGTCACATCCCATGTGAGAAATCCCCTTTGGCATAAACCTTAAGCCATCATCCAACTGAGAACATCTGGAATTGTCTTAGCCATTTAATTATCCATCCAAAGAGCTGTTTTCCTGGTGCTTTTATGAGGAACTTACATGAATAACCTTCAATAAGAATTAATAAAAATTAAAAATGCAAACCCATAATGAAATGGGATTGCTACAAGAGAGGTTGCTTGGCTTCCTCAGGAAAAGATAAAGATAGTATTCTCCCAGGGTACTGTTGCAGCTTCTATTTCTTTTTTCCTGGAGCAGTCCAGATTTTGTGCAAATTTATACACTTGGACTGTGTGCAACAAGAATAAAGTAGGCATTTGTGTGCAGACCCCCCACAAGGTCTAACAGTGCCTCACATTTCTATTTACTCTTTATAGTTATGGTCCCAACAATCCTGTAGAGCAGGTGTGGTGCAAGCATTATCATCCCTGATTTTATAGATGAGGAAGCTGAGGCTCAGAGAGAATGAGTGCCCTACAGCTGGTACAAGGCAGAGCTAGAACTCAGACCCAGGGTCTCTTTATTCCAAGGCTGGTCCATTTCTCTCTCATTTATGCACAGCTCTTGCCTCTTAAGTTTTTATGGAACCATTTAATGACATTAGCCAAGGTATGCCTATTTTTTGAGTCACATCCCATGTGAGAAAGCCCCTTTGGCATAAAGGGTGCAGAAGCCCAATGCTTTGCATAGCCTTTGCTTCCTAGCCATAAGCCCCCATTTTTTAAAAGAATTAGTGACTGTGACACTAAGATGACAAGTGAGGCAAATGCCATATTCTCTGAACTCCTTTGGAGAGATTGTGTCATCCTGGAAAATAAAAAAAAACTCCCAAACCCCATCTATTTCTTTTCTTGAATTGTTAATATCAGGGTAATATTGAGTTTGGTTCTTGATGTCTCTGTCTAGGAGTTACTCAAGTACAGTGCTAGCTCTGAAGGTGTTCAGCAGCTCCAAGAAGCTCTCGTTGCAATGTTGGACTTGCTAAAGTCGGTCAATGATTCCATGCACCAGACTGCTATTACTGGCTATGATGTAAGTGTGAGGGTGTGTGTCAATAATTATGTACACCTTTGGGATGATGAAATTACCCCAGAAGAATTGGTTATGCTTCATTCATTTGGGTGTCTCAGGCTGAATGAGCACTTCAGATCTGATGTCATAGACCTGTGTGCTGCTACAATATTCAAATTCACATGTGATGTGTGTGTTTTATTGATGCTTTTTGGCTTTAGACCATACCTATTCCTTGATATACCCCCACCCTTCCACTTGCCACTGAACTTTCCCCGATTATAAAGAAAGAAGGTTAAATAAAACTACCTAAAACAGCTATCTCTCCTGAGGTTATGTGACATTTAACAAAAGCAGTCCCCCTCTTTACTGAGAGAGAGGAGGGAAGTTTGTCCCATCATTAGTTTTCGGGGACCAATATGGGTAACTGCATTCAAACTTGAGTTGTCTTTTAGCATTCTTTCCCTTTGTATTATAGTGGCCTTCGCCTAAATTATTCTCTTGATTCTGCTTTCTTTGCTCTGTATCAATTGACATGGGTCTTCCCATGTATTTCCAAATTTCTCATATTTGTTATTTCTAATGGCACAATCACATTCCTCTGCATTCTCATACCACAGTTCATTCAGCCATTTTCCAGTGGATGGATACCTGCTCTGTTTCCAGTTTTGTGCTGGCCCTAAAAGCACTGCCATAATACTTTGGTATGTGGAGCCTTTCTGCCTTAGTCATCATCCTTATCTAGTAGTATCATTGGGTGAATGGATAGAAAGAGCTTTCTTGTAGAATTCCAAATTGTTTTCCAGAATGGCTAAATTAATTCACAGTTTTGCCCGGAGGGTATTCATATGCCTTTCTTCCCATAACACTTCTACTATCGGGGGCCATGTCCAGTTGTCCTGATCTATATCTCTCCACTGGACCCAGACGGCTCCAAAGGAGAAAGTGAGGCTGGTGAATTTGCACAGCCCTCCCTCACTTAAATCCAATTCACTTGCAAGTCATGGCATCACCTTCCTGATGTCATGGTCCTCTTCGAGAATGAAGGATAAATCACACACATGACATTGACTGCTTCTCATTCTTGGCATCTTAGTAGGCACACTAATGGTTTTTTTTTTTATTTCACTTCTAGGGTAACCTAAGTGACCTGGGCAGGGTATTAATGCAAGGGTCATTCAGTGTTTGGATTAGTCATAGAAAAGGTACCACCAAAATGAAGGACTTTGCCCGATTCAAGCCCATGCAGCGTCACCTTTTCTTGTATGAGAAAGCTATCGTGTTCTGTAAGAGGAGAGATGAACATGGAGATGGACATGAGAGAACACCCTTCTACAGCTTTAAACACTATTTGAAAGTAAGACATATTTAATCTCTTGCCATAACGTTGCTTCCATGTGTGTATCTTTCCCTACAGGCCTCCTCTGAAAACTCCTTGTGATGTGCAGGTGACCCTGAACAGGGGCATTCCTCTGGTTTGTGAGGACAGCTTGTGCTTGTATGCTTGTCACTGTTTTCCTTTCTGAAACTCTGCTTCATGGGCTGTGTATCACTATATTGTATTGTTGCCATGTAACATGTTGTTCTGTCTCCTGGTATACTTTTCAAAGAGTTCTGTGAGCAGTGGTGGACTCAAAGAGATCAGAGCCTATTTTCTCTCTTACATTTCTCTCTTCCTTTCCCCCTAGATTTATGGATGCTTAAAAAAACATCATCTATGAGGGGCAGCTAGGTGGCGCAGTGGCTAGAGCACTGTCCCTGAAGTCAGGAGGATCTGAGTTCAAATCCTGCCTCAGACCAAACACTTGACACTTACTAGCTGTGTGACCCTGGGCAAGTCACTTAACCCCAATTGCCTAACAAAACAAAAAAACAAAAAAACAAACAAAAAACCCCATCAGTTTCACTTCCGAGTGATACTCTCCCTAGACCCATTAGAACTCACCCTAATAATAAAGAAATGCATCTCTGACAGGAGTTCTTAACCTGGGATCCACAACCCCAAAGGGACCTATGAATAGGTTTTGGAGGGAGTCTGTGAACTCAGAAGAGGAAAAAAAAATCACCTTAATTTTTACTAACTTTTTACTTCCTTTGTAATTTTTTTGTAAATTGTTCTTCTGGTTCTGCTCGATGTTCTCTGAATTCTTCATATTTGCCCTTTCTTATGGTACAATATTATTCCATTACAATCATATGCCACAGTCTGTTTGCTTGTCTCTTCCCCGAGTTAGTGGTTGTTCACCTTCTGTCTCGTCCTTTGCTGCTATAAAAATGTTACTATAAATGTTCTTGTTTCCCTTCTGCCTTTGTCATGCTTGGCATATATGCCCAGTATTGATATCTTGAGGTCAAAGGGTATTAAGGATTTATTGACTGTGAAATGCTAATTTTTGTTTCCAGAATATTCCCATTGCTTTTGATGAGCAAATTCAAGAGTTTTTATTCTCAGTCTAATTTCCTTCCTGATGGACCCAGTAACCCCCAACCTGGTGGTAAGAGCAGTTGAAGAGGTGGGAATTATGTGTAATTAAAATCTGTTTGCTGGAAGTGGGAGAGTGATTTAATCACTGTTCGAACCTCTTCAGACACTCTTAGCAAGCCTTCAGAGTTTTAGTGCTGCTGCTTTCAACCACTGGGGGGGATTTATGTGTATAACGCCTCCCAAAACCCCTTATGTTTGCTCCCCATAATCGGGGGACAGGGTTGGTGAGGAGTGTAGGAGCAGAAAATGACATCCATAAATACTGCAGTCCTTGTTTTTTATGAAGAGAACTGATTTTGTTGCCAACAGAGAAGAAATTAGACTCTTGGCTAGGTAACCATACATTCCAGATTTTCCAGGACAGTCTCTGTTTCAAGATAAAAACGTGTCCTTTGAATGAGGCTTTGCAAAAAGAAATCTCCTTTGTCAGACCATATGCCCTTACTTTTGGCTCAGAAAATACAGTCATCTGAATGGGTGTTTTCCTGGGATATTTCTTCCTTCCATGGCATATGATTTGAGTTCTACAAAAATCATTCTCTTTACCACCAAAGGGTTACTTTGCGTGTAGGATTTCTGACTTCATAGATTTAACTTTCCAAAGAAAGAAATGATTCCAATGTTATGGCAGCAAAACTCATTGGAAAGACCTTGGAGTTCTGGATTCTAGTCTTGATTTTGCTGTGAACCAGCTGTGTGGCCTTGGGCAAATCGTCTTACTTCTTTAGATCTCAGTTTTCCCATCTGTAAAATTGAGGGGGTTGGATGAAACCAGGGGTCTTCTTAACTTTTTCTGTGGCAATCTGGTGAAGACTGGACCCTTTTTCAGAAAAATTTTTGTAAGCAATTTAAGAAAATGCTAAATTTCAGTTAGAGGTTAGTGAATATAAAGATGTATTTTGTTTTGCCTTCTATGTCACATACCCCTTGGGGGTACTTGGACCCTAGATTAAGAACCCCCAGACTAGGTGGTCTCTAAGGTTCTGTTTGGCTTTGGCAATGAGTCTGTGTTTTGTGCAGGGAAATTTCTTGGTTGAAATGTGTATATGTGCTGAGCCCATGATGCTTAGCTGAAACACATTGCTGTAATCTAAGATACCAGGCCATGCAGACAGATTTTCCAATAACTATGGGCAATTTTCTGAGCCTGCAAATTGCAGGCTAGTTGCTAATTTGCATGGCTAGAGGGAGTTTTCTCCCCAGAAGTTCCATAAACCAATGGAATCACGGCTTTGTATTCCTCCTCCTCCAAATTGGCCAGAATGGTCACATTTGCCCTCCTGTAAGTACAGAGAAGGCCTTCTAAGAGCAGTTCACTTGCATATGGCCAAATTGAATTTCAAGCCAATTTTCAAAAACATGTGTCCTAATAACTCAGGCCTTAACAATGCTGATTAGATCTTCCTCCAGAGACGTAAAGAAAACTTTTTGCTTTGGTGGTTTGAGCAGAGGCCTAGTTGGGAGCCCCAGGAATCTTTGAGTCCAGTTCCAGCTCTCTTGACACACTTGGGTGACTTTGAACAAGTCAGTTGATATCCTTGGGCCACCCTCAGAGTGGCTACAAACTTAGGTTAAAAGTTAGAACTCCTTGACCTTCTGAGTGCAGTTGGCTGGCCCTGGGGGAAAATAGCATAATACAGTATGATTTTTTTCATGACCCCCAGAGATAGAGAAGGAAATATGGAATCTGCCTTACTAGTGTGGGAGGAGGAGGAGAGGGGATGCTTGTAACCTCTTCCTCGCCTGTTCCTCATGCCTCACTTAGGCAGGTAAGTCACCAAAGCTCCAAGTTGGTTGTTTGTAGCTCAGAATGCCTTTTCTTTTCTTTTTTTATTAATAAATTTATTTATTTTTAGTTTTCATCATTAACTTCTACAAGATTTTGAGTTCCAAATTTTCACCCCATCTCGCCCCTCCCCCCACCCCAAGATGGCATGCATTCTGAATACCCCTTCCCCTAGTCTGCTCTCCCTTCTATCTCTCCCCCCTTCTCTTATCTCCTTCCCCTTCTGTTTTCCTGTAGGGCAGGATAGATTTCTGTACCCCATTTCCTGTATTTCTTATTTCCCAGTTGCATGTGAAAACATTTTTTTAAACATGTGTTTTTAAAACTTTGGGTTCCAAATTTTCTCCCTCCCTCCCTCCCCACCCACCCTCATTGAAAAGGCAAGCAACTCAATATAGGTTATACATGTGCAGTTATGCAAAACACTTCCATAGTAGACATGCTGTGAAAAACTAACTCTATTTCCCTTAATCCTATCCTGCCTTCCCCCATTTATTCTATTCTTTCTTTTGACCCTGTCCCTCCTCAGAAATATTTGCTTCTGATTACCCCCTTTCCCAATCTGCCCTCCTCTCTATCATCCCCATACTCTCTTGTCCCCTTTCCCCCCTATTTTCCTGTAGGGTAAGACAGATTTCCATACTGAATTGAGTGTGTATGTTATACCCTCCTTAAGTCAAATCCTATGAGAATAAGATTCACTCATTGCCTCTTACCTTCCCCCATTTCCCCTCCACTGTAAGAACCTTTTCTTTTTTGTTTTTTTTGACATAATTTACCCTGTTCTACCTCTCCCTTTCTTCTTCTCCCAGTATAATCCTCTTTCACCCCTTAATTTTATTCTCCAGATATGACCCCTTCATCTTCAACTCACTCTGTGCTCTCTATCTATGTATCTATCTATCTGTCTATCTATCTATATACATACATACATACATATAATTTTTTCCCTCCAACTACCTTAATATTGACAAAGGTCTCATGAGTTACAAATATCATCTTTCCATGCAGGAATGTAAACAGTTCAACCTTAATAAGTCTCTTATGATTTCTCTTTCCTGTTTACCTCTTCATGTTCCACTTGAGTCTTGTATTTGAAAGTCAAATTTTCTATTCAGCTCTGGTCTTTTCATCAAAAATGCTTGAAAGTCCTCTATTTCACTGAATGACCATTTTTTCCCCTGAAGGATTATACTCAATTTTGCTGGGTAGGTGATTCTTGTTGTAATCCTATCTCCTTTGCCCTCCGCAATATTATATTCCATGCCCTGCGGTCCCTTAATGTAGAAGGTGCTAAATCTTGTGTTATCCTGATTGTGTTTCCACAATATTTGAATTGTTTCTTTCTGGCTGCTTACAATATTTTCTCCTTGACCTGGGAACTCTGGAATTTGGCTACAATATTCCTAGGAGTTTTCCTTTGGGGATCTCTTTCAGGAGGAGATCGGTGGATTCTTTCCATTTCTATTTTGCCCTCTGGTTCTAAAATGTCAGGGCAGTTGTCCTTGATAATTTCTTGAAAGATGATGTCTAGGCTCTTTTTTTGATCATGGCTTTCAGATAGTGGAATAATTTTTAAATTCTCTCTCCTGGATCTATTTTCTAGGTCAGTTGTTTTTCCAATGAGATATTTCACATTGTTTTCTAATTTTTCATTCTTTTGGATTTGTTTTACAGTGTCTTGATTTCTTATAAAATCGCTAGCTTCCAATTGCTCTACTCTAATTTTTAAGGAAATATTTTCTTTGGTAATCTTTTGGACTTCTTTTTCCATTTGGCCAATTTTACTTTTTAGGGCATTCTTCTTCTCATTGACTTTTTGGACCTCTTTTATCATTTGGGTTAGGCTGTTTTTTAAGGTATTATTTTCTTCAGTATTTTTTTGGGTCTCCTTTAGCAAGCTATTGACTTGTTTTTCATGATTTTCTTACATCACTCTCATTTCTCTTCCCAGTTTTTCCTCTACTTCTCTTACTTGCTTCTCAAAATCCCTTTCGAGATGTTCCAAGGCCTGGGACTGATTCATATTTTTCTTGGAGGCTTTGGACATAAGAGCTTTGACTTTGTTGTCTTCTTCTGGTTGTATGTTTTGATCTTCTTTGTCACCAAAGTAAGATAATATAGTCTAACTCTTTTTGCGCTACTTACTCATGATCCCAGCCAATTACTTGAGCTTTAAACTCTTTGTTAAGGTAAAAGTCTGTTTCCAATGTGGAGAATATACTGTCCCAAGCTTCAGGGGTTTGTATAGCTGTTTTCAGAGATACTTCTAGGGACCTGAAAATTTTCAGTTCTTCCAAGGTGGTATGATAAGGGGTGGGGTGTTTCCTCTCCACCACCACAACAAGCTCCACCATGCCAGCACTCCTCCTCGCCCCAGGACTGCCCCTCAGAACTGTGACCCAGATCCAAGCACAGGCAGAGCAAGAGATTACTGCAATCCCCCTCTGATCAGCCCCTTGATTCCCCCTCGGTCTGTGGGCCAGAAGCTCAGGAGGCAGCCGCTGCCCCAGAGGCCCTGCTCGGGACTTGAGGCTGAGACCTAGCTCCTTCTCTCACTGCAGTCACAGACTTTTCCCACTGACCTTCTAAGTTGTCTTTGGTGTTCGTGGGTTGAGAAGTCTGGAAACTGCCACAGCTGCCTGAGATTCAGTCCTCTGAGGCTTGCTCCAGGGTCTCTGCAGCCTGCGTGCCCACGCTGCACTGTGCTCCTCTCCCCGCCCGGGACGATATACCTTTCCGATCAACCATCCAGGCTGTCTTTGGCTGGAAATGTGTTTCATTCTGTCTTTTTGTGGGTTCTGATGCTTTAGAATTTGTTAGAGCCATTTTTTAACAGGTATTTGGAGGGGTTGGGGGAAAGCTCAAGCAAGTCACTGCTTTCACTCTGTCATCTTGGTTCTGCCCCCTCAGAATGCCTTTTCTTATGAATACAACACACCTTCATTGTACTAACGGACCTGCGCACAGTTCTTGAAGCTTTGCTCAGTGCTTTATACATACATATTACCTCTTTTAATCCTTTTGCCCCCTCTGTGATGTAAGTCCTACAGTTATCCCCACTTTACAGATGAAGAAACTGAGGCTCCTAGAGGTGAGGTGACTTTTCTCCTAGTCACACAGATGTCTGAAATATAATTCCATAGACAGAGCTCTTCCCATCAACTTGCTGTTGAGTCGTTTCAGTCCAATCTGACTCTTCATGACCCCATTTGGGGTTTTCTCGGCAAAGATACTGGACTGGTTTGCAATTTCCTTCTCTAGCTCATTTTAACGATGAAGAAACTGAGGCAAACAGGGTTAAGTGACTTGCCCAGTGACTTGTTGAACAGTAAGTATCTGAGGCTGTATTTGAACTAGGTCTTCCTGACTTCAGGCCTGGTTCTCTATTCACTGTACCACCTAGCTGCCTTTTCCATCATTATTTCTGAGTAAATGGTTATTTAGTTCCCAGGCTAGCCCATACAAACCTATCTAATCCATTTTTTTCTTTTTACACTAGACATGTAGTTTCACTGGTGTGGGGAATTCCAAGTCGCGAAATTGCCTCTACCAATGCAGACAAGCACCTTCTCTGCCTTATATAATAGAGCATTTACTAAAGCTCTGAGATATTAAGTGACTTGCCCGGGGTCACACGTTTAGTTATAATGTAGCTAAAATATTATACATCTCCCCCAAAAATGTAGAAATGAGTAATGTCATAATATGCATAACTAAACAAAATGGGGAGAAGTAAAACGGAGTAAGGAATCACTCTATAAAATAATGATGTTTCAGGAAAACTAGAGAAAGACCTAGAAGTAGATTGGCAACATATTGCAATAGAAAGAACTCTGGAGTTGAAATCAGAAGACCTGAGTTTGAGTCCCAGGCCTATTATTTTGCTTCTTTTTTGGCCTTAGTTTCTTCCTCTGTAAAATGAGTAGGCTAGAAGTGATGAGGTCTAAAGTTCCTTCCAGGTCTGGCATTCTGTGATTGTATAAATTTTTGAGGGAAAATTTTCAGATACTTCCAGAGGTTAAAGGCTTTGGTTCTTTAGCATGTCTCTTTACTTCTAAACTTATGGGTTTCCGTTTCCTTGATACAGGTGTTTCACCACAGTACTCTGGCAGCCATTGTTAATTTTTTTTCCCCTAAAGAAGTACATAACAAACGTGATTTTTTTCCTGAGGTAACTAGGATAAAGTAAGAGGAGCAAAGGAAAGGTGTAAAGGGTTAAAGAAAATGTGCATCTATGCCTGATGAGTACTTGAGAAGGCATCACCTGGGCCATTAGTGGTGAAAGAGACAAGAAAGTGGGATAGCACACTGTGTACACAATTCCTCTGGTGGAAAAGAAAGGAGGTGGTGGGGAAGAGACATACCATTGGCCCAGGAAAATGTTGTTACTCTTTAGGGTGTTGGTGGGTGAGGGTAGAGGGAGATAGTGTACAGTTGACCATTTGGATGGATTTTCTAGTTTGCTTACTCATTACTTGGGGATTGATTGTATGGAACAAAGTTACATAAAACTAAATAAATGTGTCAGGTGACCAAGTAACAGAAAATAGCTATCCTAAATCCATTTCTTGGATACATTTTCTTATTGAATTTAAAGGGCATTTTTACTTCTGTGTCTGATTAAAAAAAACATGAAAAAAGACCATGTAGTTCATTTAAAACAGCACCTACTTAAAGATTTATGCAGGACCAATTTAAAATGAATCACTTGGCTCGGATTTATAATGTTTGTTTTTTATCTCCTCTAGAACTAATAATCCATTTTCCAAATTACAATGAGTGCTTAGAGTTGAGCTCTAATGTTTCACTGAAAACATTTATATGTTCTTAACTACAATAGAATTTGTGGCTTGGTAATTCATAATTGCTGAGCGCAAAATGTTCATTTTGGAGGGAGCATGACATTTTTTATGTATAGTAGGGTACTGTGCGTGGCCCTAGTTAAATTTCAGATTTGAAATAAAAGGCTCATGAGAATCTGTTCTTGTTTTGCAGATGAGCGCCATTGGAATTACTGAGAATGTGAAAGGAGATAACCGCAAATTTGAAATCTGGTACACTGGGCGTGAAGAAGTTTACATTGTGCAGGTTAGCGACTTTCTAAGGTGGCCTCTCCTGTCATGTCCTGCTTTTAGAAAACCTGTTTTGTACACGTTGGAATTTATAAAGCTCATAAATCATGGAGTGTGTTTTCATCTCACAAAAGTTTTCACATCAGAGTTCCTTTCCCGTAGAATATTTAAAACACGATTTGATTTCCCGAATGCTTGATCTATACAGATTCCTTTTTGGAGCATATCCTCTATATAAACTGTGGTACAGCCATGTTGTTATAGAACTTTTACTTAGGAGATCGGAAAAGGTTACAGCAGGGAAGAAATCTTGAAGATGATCAAATCCAACTCCTTTTACAGATGAGGAAACCTAGGCTCCTAGAGGGGAAGGGACATGCTCAGGGTCACACAGATCATATGATAGTAGGATTATATATTTGGAGTTGGAGGGGTCCTTCCAAGTCTAGTTAGTGTAACACCTCCATTTTACAGATGAGAAAACTAAGGCCCAGAAGTGGGAAGGGACTTGCTCGATGTACTCAAATCATAGGATCGTAGATTTAGAGTTGGAAGAAGCCATGCTGTTGTTCTTGTTCAGTTATTTCAGATACTTTGTGACCCCTTTGGGGGTTTTCTTGACAAAGACCCTTGAGTGGTTTGCCATTTCTTTCTCCAGCTCATTTTTCAGATGAAGAAACTGAGGCAAACAGGAACAAGTGACTTGCCCAGGGTCACACAGCTACGAAGTATCTGAGGCTGGATTTGAACTCATAAAGATGAGTCTTCCTGATTCCCAGCTCTAACCACTGTGCCATCTAGCTGCCCTGGAGCTAGGAAGGAGCCATCTGAGTCTTCTATTCCAACCCTCTCATTTTACAGATGAGGAAAAAGCTCAGAGAGGTTGTGACTTGCCCCAGGTAGTTAGAAATAGGACCAATATTAGAACTCTGGTCTCCTGACTTGGAGGCCAATGGTAACATCCCTACTCTGGGAGTATCAGCTTTAGCAGGCATCTTGGTAGCTGCTTTGTCATGCTAATTAAGTGCTTCAGGCAGAGTCTAGAATGACCAGACAGTGACGTCTGTTTGGAGCCCCTTTTGTGGTCACCAGGCAGTACTTGACACAATTACAAGACCACGAAGCTGTGGCACCCCAGATTTTGGCCTCTTCTTATCAGACACATGATTGGGACCCCAGCCAGGTGTGCCACAAGCTTCCCTCAGCTCTCTTCTCTCAGGGAAGGAGAGGAGAAGGAAAGTCAGTTCATCTAGGGGTTGCCATTTGAACCTAGATCTTTGTCACCAACACTTTAACTAATTTTTTTTTTTTTTGCGGGGGAAGGGGGTGGGTCAAAACATAGAGCCACTCAGTGCAAGAGTATATGTATTTTGAGTATTTTTCTTTTCCTTTTCTCTTTCTTTCTTTGTTTTTCTCTTTCTTTCTTTCTTTCTTTCTTTCTTTCTTTCTTCCTTTCTTCCTTCCTTCCTTCCTTCCTTCCTTCCTTCCTTCCTTCCTTCCTTTCTTCCTTCTCCCCTCTTACTTCCTTCCTTTTTTTCAACAGCAAATACAATTCTGGCTCAGTGTAAAAATGGGAGACTTGGAGTCAGGAAGACTCATCTTTGTGAGGTCAAATCTGACCTCAGACACTTACTAGCTGTGTAACCCTGGACAAATCACTTTGCCCTGTTTGCCTTAGTTTTCTCATCTGTAAAATGAGCTGGAGAAGGACAGGGCAAATGGCTCCAATATCTTTGCCAAGAAAACCCCAAATGGGATCATAAAGAATCAGACACAATTGAAAAATGGCTATACAACAACATTTTTGGTTTAAACATTTTCTGTTCCTTTAGTGGAGTTATTGATAACTTTTAACAAAATCATTACAGTCAGTAGAGGCAACCTGGTATAGTGTGTAGAGTGTTGGGTTTGCAGGCAGAAGATTGGGGTTCAAATCCTGCCTCTTGATCCTGACCAAATCCTTTAACTTCTCAGTGCCCAGGCCTAGGCAACTCCATATAACTTATTTACAGTGGAATACAATGGACAAAAAAATGGTCATGGAGTCAGACTATCTGGGTTCAAATCCTGCCTTACTACTTGTGTGACCGTAGGTGAATGACTTTACCTCCTTGGGCCTCAGTTTCCTCCTCTGTTATATAAGGAGTTGTACTCAATGGCCTTAGAGGTCCCTTTCAGTTCTAGATCTAGGAACTTATAGCCTTTCACAAATTAGTAGAATTTCCCCACCCCCAAATGCCCCAAATGAAGTTTTAATTGTCAGCCCAGAAGCAAAATGTTTTTGTTTTGTTTTTCTTAAGCAACAATTAGGTGACAGAGTGAGCAGTGCACTGGACCTGGAATCAGGAAGACCTGAGTTAAAATTTGACCTTAAAATAATTATTGGTTGTGTGACCCTGGGCAAGTCACTACATTTCTGTTTTCCTCTGTTTCCTCAACTATAAAATGGGCATAATAATAGCACCTACCTCCCAGAGGTGGGAGGATCAAATGAGATAATGTTTGTAATGTGCTTAGCAAAGTGCCTGGCACATAGTAGGCACTTAATAAATACTTGCTTGTTTCTTTTTCTCTTTCTTATTTTGAAAGCAAAATTAAAAGGGGGCACAACTATAAAAGGAGTTGGATTTGATCATCTCCAAAAATAAAAATAAGACTATTGAAGGACATCGTCCTGTGTAACACACATACAACATACACACACATACGCACATTAACAATGAAAGCTTACATTTTGTGTTGGTTTAGGGAATTATACCTCCAATTCAAGGATAACTTGAAACTGGTCTGATGATTTCTGCTGAAGATGGTGGGCTCAACTGCTCAGGTTCAGTGACTTTAAATGCAGAACTTGGCCATTCCTAGAGAATGCTTTCTGCCTGCTACCTCTCACTTTCCTTTGTTCTATCATTCCAAAACTGGATTCCAGGAAGTCACCAAATGTCATCTTGTCCTTCCTTTTTAGGCCCAGACAGTAGAATCGAAGGCAGCCTGGTTGACTGAAATCAGGAAAATTTTGATCAAGCAACAAGAACTTATCAAAGGTAATGTTGGAGCTAAGAACTGGGGCTGGGCCGAGGAGGGGGTGGGGCTACCCCCCTGCTTGGACTGGACTTTTTTTTTTTGTGAGGCAATTGGGGTTAAGTGATTTGCCCAGAGTCACACACAGCTGGTGAGTGTTATGTGTCTGAGGGCAGATTTGAACTCAGGTCCTCCTGTCTCCAGAGCCAGTGCTCTATCCATTGTGCCACCTAGCTGCCCTTCTGGACTGAACTTCTTGATGGGCCAAAGCACTTTGCTGTTGGCAGCTTGGTCCTGAGCCTTACAGTTCCAGGAACTCACTTTTAGCAGCCCACCCAGAGGTTATCAGGTAACCCAACTCATGAGATTGCTTGGCAGGCCAGGATCCCAACTGATCAATTTATAGCAAAAAGGAGAATCCTTAAAAGAAGACAGGTTATTTGGGTCAGCTGGTCAGCACATTCTCTTTCCAATAAGAATATTGACTTGGAAAGTAAAATTGACAGTATCATGTAGGCATCTCCAACTCAACATGGCCAAAATAGAACTCATTATTTTATGCCTCTAAACCAATCCCTCTTTTTTTGTTTTGTTTTGTTTTCAAGGCAATCCGGGTTAAGTGAATTGCCTAGGGTCAAACAGCTAGTAAGGGTCAAGTGTCTGAGGCCAAATTTGCACTCAGGTCCTCCTGACTCCAGGGCCAGTGCTCTATCCACTGTGCCACCTAGCTGGCCCAATACCTCTTCTTCTATTTTTATTTTGAACTTAACAAACACCAAATAAAATGGGCATTTCCACAAACATAGTGGAAAAAAGAAAAAAAAAAGATTATACAGGAAATTGTGCAGTTTCCCTCTGTTACAGATCCACCCTTATGAGGTTCCCTGTCTCTTTCCAGGTTCCCAACATGCTTGCAGTCACCCAGATGGATGACCCTGGAGTCATCCTGGAAATCTCACTCTCTCTTACCCCACATATGGATTCTGTTCCCAAGTCTTTTCTGCTTCTGTAACATCTCTGTACTCATGTGGCCACCTCCTTAGTTTCAGCACATTATCGCTTCTTGTCTAGACTATTGTAAAGACAATTGCTGTCTCTGCCTCCAGTCTTGCCCTGTCTCCAATCCGTCCTCCACACAGTTGTCCAAGATATATCCCAAAATATAGAAATATATTTCAATATAAATATATTCCCCAAACATGGGCTTGACTGTGTTACTCACCCCTCAATAAACTCCAGTGGCTCCCTATTACCTCTAGAATCACACACACTGCTCTGTTTAACATTTAAGGTCCTTCCAAACCTTTCCAGACTTCTTATAGATTCCTCCCCTTCACTCACTCTCAGTCCAGCCAAAACGGGCTTTTCGTTGTTCCTCACGTACAACACTCTATCCCCATCTCCATGCCTTTTCACCAGCTGTCCACCATGCTGGAAATGTACTCCCTCCTCTTCAGTTTTCTCAGAAACACAACTCAAGTGGCAGCCCCTACAAAAAGGTCAACTAGTCCAACCTCCTCATCTTTACAGATAAGGAAACCAAGGCACAGATAGAGAAAGTAACTTTCCAAGATCGCTCAGGTAGTAAGTGGCAGAGCCAGGGCTCAAACCCAGGTCCTCTGACTCTGCATCCAAATATAGCACAGTGCTTGGCACAGAGTAAGTACTTAACAAATGACTTGCCCAACATCACTTAGGTAGTCCTAGCAGAAAGAGGATTTGAACTCAAGTCTTCTGATATCCAATCTGGCCCTCTTGGATAACAACCAGTTATGCTTTCTCTTGGTACCTCTGTGAGCAGGGCTTTGAGAGATCTTCCCCGATTTCTATCTTTTTTCTGTAGTTTTTTTTTTTTTTTTTTTTTTTTAGGGTGGGTTGCTTTGACAGCTGGTCAGTTTCACTATACTGATAGTATTAGCTTCAATCTAATTTTCTGACCGGAAATTCTTGATAACTCATCACCTTGTGAGCAATCTACTGGTGATGAGCTTTTCTATATTTCATAGGATTATAGATTTTGAGCTGAAAAAGACCATAGAGAACATTGGGTCCAGTTCTCTCATTTTACAGATGAAGAAACTGAGGCCCACAGAGATTAAGTGACTTGCCTAAAGTCACAGTAAGTGGCAGGATGAGGCACTGAATGTAGGTCATCCTCAGGCAGCAGCCACACAGCCTTTTACCAGGTTCATACCCAAGCCCTCTTCAGATTGAGAGGACCTATCAGAGTTTGCTGCCTGCTGTCATAGTCTTCAAGAATGCAGGTAGACTTTTGTATTTGCAAGTCATAAGTCAAGGAATGAAAAAAAAATTTAAAAAATACCTATTATGTGCCAAGTGCTTGTTCTAGGCTTTAGTAACACAAAGACAAAAGTGAGACAGCCCTTGCCCTCAAGGTGCTTACCTTCTAATTGGGAGAGAAAACTCACACAGAGGAGGAATGGGCAAGGATGGGAATTTTGGTCTGAGAAGGCACTGGGATGTTTAGTGTGGGGTCATTGGGCAGTGGATTTATGGGAGCAATGGTAGTGTTTATTTGATTGCTGCTTCTGGAAGCAAGAAATGAAAGTAACCTAAGATAAACTAGGAGTGCTCCCCATCCAGCTGCAAGTCTGATGGCAAGCTGTTAGGATGCTGGGAAGTGAAGTATGGTTTGGAGCTATTTATATGGTCAGAAAATACTATTTCTTTTTTATTTATTTATTTTTTTGGCTAGGCAATGGGGTTAAGTGACTTGCCCAGAGTCACACAGCTAGTAAGTGTTACGTGTCTGAGGTTGGATTTGAACTCAGGTCCTCCTGAATCCTGGGCTGGTGCTCTATCCACTGTGCCACCCAGCTTCCCTGAAAATACCATTTCTTGTTGGGTAGTGGGGAACCAGGGCATAGTTGAATCCTTTCATGATCTTCTCAGTCAGTCAGAATTAGTGTAATTTTACCCAGTGGTAATAATTTTTATCTAAACCATGGCTAGTCCTTGAATAAAATAGGGAATGGCAGCCTTTCTGTGGTCATTGGTAACCCCTGGAATTCTGGGTTCTGTTTGCAGTTGAGAGGCAGCAGCAGAACCAGGCTGCGGAGCCGATTCCAATTGTTCCTCAGCTGACTGAGGGGTAAGTAATTTCAGGGCTACTGCTGCCCCTTTCCCTAGTATATCTTCTCTGGAATGGAGAAACAGAGACATGGAACCATCTTTGTCCTTCATCATCCCCTTGCAGCCCAACAGTCATTCATCAAAGGCAAAACATGCATCAATTTCCTCATTCTGTCCTTGAGTATGGGGCCAGGTGGTGTCCAACAGTTGCGGCAATTGGACACTAGGCCATGGGCTGGATTGATTTGCATATGCAAATTTACTTTGCATACCGGAGCCCAGGCATTAAGTTGTCAGAATGTCATGGTGGTGGGGGTTGCGGAGCTGCAGGGCAATAACTCTTGGGGAGGCCCCCAGACGTAATGGCTGCTATCATGTCCTTTGCACAGCCTCCTTAGGATTCAGATAGTTGATTTCCAGAAGAGTGGTATAAACTTAGGGACAGTTCTGCTTCTGAATAGAGCAGACCGGATGGAGGACTGGCAGCTTTTTCGAGCTTCCGTTTTCCTCTCTGCTGTAATTGCAACCACCTGCTAGCCTATTTGACCTCTCTACCACCTCTAGCTGTTGGGCGGGGATGGAAGTTTAGAAAGTCTGCCCTGATTTGTGGGACAGTGTCATGGCTAAGAAAGGGCTGAGGACACGGTCGCCGAGGGTGCAGCAGCCACAGGGGCACAGATGGACTTTCTAGCCCAGTAACTGTGCTTGCCTTATCTTCTCATTTGGGGCTAGTGAGCACAGAGCTCTTTGCCCATGTCACTCATTTCTAGCTAAGTCTCTTACTCCCCATCCATGTAGACTCTCCATCCATGGCCAGTCTTGATCTCATATTTCTTGCTTCATTCAAATCATACTTCTGAATTTTCTAAACTCCTTTCCCTCAATACCTGGACAGGGAGTTTAGATGTAGTATATGGGTCAGCCAGGAGACTATGGGATTATAGGATCGAGAACATTTCTCTGAAGGTCATAAGTTCATAAGTGAAGAGCTAGATTTAGTCTCAGATCCCCCCTAGCTCCCCCCTCTCATTTTCAGAGGAGGAAACTGAAAATCAAAGAGGGAAAGAGAGTACAAGAGCTAAGTCCAAGGTCATTGGACTCCAAGTCCAGGTCCTTGAACTCAGGATCCAATGCTCTTTCCACTTACTACAAGACAGTTCCATTCTTTGCCCTGTGTCACAGTGAGAGATAGCTCCCTTAAAGTCTGTACTCGGCTGAGAATGTGATTTGAGAGTAAGGGAGTCATGCATGGCAATCGGGGATAGGTTGAGGGGACACACAGTTATACTCCTCCTCAAGAAGTCATACTGATCTAGGGTCCTCCAAGATTCCAAGTAAGTTGACTTGATATTGGAGCTAGGGCCATGATTAACGGACTCTGTCAGCTACTACCTGTGCACTTGGAGCAAGTCTCTTGTTCTCTCTGGACCTCAGCATCTTCCTCTATAAAATTAGATGTTTAGGTTAGATGATCCCAACTCTGATCCTCTGATCACTGGCTGGGAGAGAAATCTTGAACCCTTTTCAAACCAGTCTTCTGGCCTAGAATGTCAGAGCTGGGAAAGACCTGGTTAATGAGGGGAAAACGCAAGGTGGCAGTGGTAAAAGTGATTTAGCTACATTCAACGCAAGGTTGGGAGAGAACCTATCTTTGACTGAGGCTCAAACGATCTTGCTCTGGTGCCACTGTGGCCATGTATCCCTGGAGGACTGTGACTATGTAGCAGAATTACTCTGTACCACCCCCTCCTCCCCCTCCCCCTGGAATAGCACTCTGCAGAGAGACACATCATCACAGGCTTTTGTTGACTCCATCTCAGCAGGGATGAGATGTACACACATTGCTATTTCCTGAGCTTTTGGTTCTCCCCAAGCCTTTGGACAGGGCCAAGGCTGGAGTTTTGGGGACTATTGCTGGATACAGCCATTCCAATGGCTAGGTTGACCTGTAACGGAAGGCAGAATAGAATTGAACGCAATGCTCCCCACTAACCCTGCTAGAGCTCCCAATGTGTCCTCAGTCTTCCCTCAGTTCCCATACCCTTTTTAGCAGACCCAGTTGTGGCCCCTGGCCTCAGGCTTCCTCTAACCCTCTGAGATTCTTTTTACTATTCTCCAAGTAGAGGGAGAAGGGCTCAATATTTCCTTCTCCATTGCCATACCCAGAGTTCTTGACCTGACAACACAGCACCCTTGTGTTTTTTTTTTTCTTCTAAGAATATTTGTGTAGGATTCAGCAAGAGTTAAAACTTTTGAAATCCTGGCCTGGAGATTTATAAGCAGTTGTTTTTAGAAATTCCTGATCCAGCATCTGTAGGTGCCACAGATCAACAACACCAAATGTTGTTTTCCCCCTGGTTTGTATATGGCCTTTCAGAGGTCGCCAAAGCTAGGGGAGTATTGGCTAATTCATTCTCAGAGCCTTGCCAGAGGTACACAGGAGGTCTTCATCCTTCTGGGCACTCAATACTTTTCACTACTCAGGCTTTGACCATAAGTAATAGGATTACAGGCTGCTAGGTTTGATGCAGTAATTGACTTCTTAACAGCTGGTGAAAAACCAACTAGAATTCTTTTAAGGTCCAAGCTTCATTTATATGCACACCTTACTTAATTCATTAAAGCTAAATGTCTGCGCAGCACCATGGATTTTCCACAATATCCTTGCCTGGGGAGCTAGGGTTTTTCTTGCATATTAATGAATGAAACCTGCTGGTTTATAACCTGTGGTTTGATGTATAGCAGCGTCCTGGACACAAATGCACCAGCTTGGATTATTAGGATCAGGAGGGACCTGGGGCTCCTCTGGTCTCCCCTCTACTTCAAACAAGCCCCACCTC